TCTCCATCTCCATTTCCATAACCATCTCCATCAGTCTCTGTCCCGTCGCCATCCCCAATCGCCATCTCCTGGCAAACGCATTCATTGTCAATTTTGACAATCCACAAGATGCGACTACAACACACGCCTGGTTAAATGCCAACATCAACATTACTTGTGTCTGCTGCCACAGCCTCTGCCACTGCGACGAGCTGTCTGGCTCGGGGTCTTCGTCTCGGTCTCGGTCTCGGTCCTGGTTCTGGTTCTGGTCCCTGCCTCCGTCTCCGTCTACAGTTGAGATCTGGATCTGACTGGAAAGGGGCTGGGCCGAAACATCAACAGAAGCCAAACGACGGCACGCGAAAGTCCTAAAAACCGAAAACGAAAATTCGCTTACAAAATTAATAACATTCAAGAGTAAGCCCAAAGGCAGCAACAACTTATTTATAGCGAAGCATTTGTACCCTTATCGAATCAACAACCATAATATAATAATAATTTTAATAATGCTTAAGTGATAAACAAAGCATCGTTTCACCAATTTTGAGCGTAATTTGAATGATATGCCGTACCTATTATTATTTAAGTTCAGGGGGATCGGATCCCACCGACAGAGTAGAATAACCAATGTTGGTACTCTATTCTTATGGCAGGGTAGGTCGAAAACAGCAGTCTCAGCCCAAGAAGCGGCTGAAACTGAACGGTAGCAGCGACAACCAACCACACAATAACAAATTGGCTTCTGGTCTTTGCATTCCACATGCAATCTGAGACAACAATCACGGCATCTGCATTTGGCGGGTGCACCGGTAGCCGGGAGCCGGAGCCGTCAAGCGGCAACAACAACCGGCACCAGTGGCCGAGAGCACCGACATGGTAACACCCTCGGAGCTTGCTCGACCATCAAGCGGCTAACTAACCAATATACATATGTACTAACACAAGTGTGTCGAGATATGTAGCAGCGTCTTAGATGGGTACTGCTACGGGCACGGGGACGGGCACGGGGACGGGCACGGGCACGGGCACGGGCACGGGGACAGGGACTGGAGTCTGGGTCTGATGTCTTGACACGTCTGGTTCGGTGCCTGCCGAACGTCATGTATTTTTAATAGACCTGCCACAAGTCCGCGCTCCACCTCCAGGGAATGTTCTCCTTCTCCGTCTCGATGCGCTCGAATCTGTTGCTTCTGTTGTTGTCTTCTGGCCTGATGGTGCGACCGAAAGAGACCAAGAGACTGCCAGTAGTTTGATGATTTTGTGATCCCTCATGCATCGCCCAGCCTAGGGGTGAGGGACAATTATGTTAATTACGTGTTATATTGATGGTTAAATAATTTTCTTTCAGTACTTGCATAATTAATGTCCACGGGGATGGATGATTGTCAGGAGTGAATACGCTCTCCAATAACACGGGTATTATGCAATTTGGGGTCCCCACATTTTATCTTTCATTGCGAATATACTCGAATATATATTATTGATTCCAATGAATTGTGGTGCCTCTATAAGTGGTCACAAACATTGTCATCCGTATCTGATCATCTTTCAAGGTCGTGTCGTCGCATGTTGGACTCTGCAACTAACTAATCTGATGATTTGCAGCTATAATAGTTTTGCGATGCTTCCTCAATAAACTTTATGTCAGACTGAAAATGTTTAGATAAGAAAGTCTTTAAATGCGAGCCGATAAATCATCTGTTGGGTCTTACAGTATTCAATACTGTTTGGAAAGGATTGGTAATGTCAAATTGATTTAATCTGAGAAGCTCCAAGTAAACAAAAATCACGGAATTTTCTACCGATCCGATAAAAGTCGACCCATAACAGAATAATGTAATCTGCTTGTCACATGTCAATTAATTTGAGTGGTATTCAATTCGATTATGAGTGAATGATTACTCGTAATTAGCGGCAGGCAGGCATATAATATTTCTGGTTTGCATATTAATCTAACAGCTATCTGTTCTGCATGATCGCGTTCGGTTCGGCTACGCGCCGCGCTTCATGCGGCAGCGCTCCTCGGTCGGTTGGGCGGGAGGAGAGCTGCGTCATGCCTGGGCCACTTCATGGTGCAGTAATTGCATCGCCACTTTGAAAGATGCAGTCATTGCATATCAACGTCCAAATATTAAAGTCTTAGAGTGTTGCTCAAAACATACCATACTGAAAAGAGAGCTTTTCGAGTCGCTATCGCCGTTTGCAGAGGTCGCACCATGGTCGATGTTCTAGTAAGCGCTGTACTATTTATGTCTAGTTCAATCACGCTTCTGCTCCGATAAGCAGGTAGACCTAAAACACCTTGCCTTATCATCTTTAAGGCCCCCCTAATTGTGGGGGGCTTAATTATAGAAAGGTGCCAAAACTCAAGTGCCAACTTGTAACTATTCAGCTGGTGTTTGTCCGATGGCAGTCTTGCAATCACTTCAAATTTAAGTGTTAGCAATCGATTAACGACCGATCGAGCAGCCAAATGTTTTGGACAGGTGGAGATGATAGGGGGGAAGGTGGTGCTGATAGTGGTGCTGCTGGTGCTGCTGGTGCTGCGGGTGCTACCGGTGTTAAGCGGCGCCCCCCCACGTGCAAACACGCACCTGCAGATATACGGACGGAATTGTTGCTCATTGGCGGCGCAATCGCCATTGCCGGCTACCGTTTAAAATAAAGCTGCCCAAAGTGGTCCGACCGTGAGGCATACTCGTAGTACGAATTCGACAGAAAATTGGTTTTGACAAAAAGCTCAGAGAAATGCCAAAAAGCGTGGTCCGGATCCGATGTCCATCGAACATCGATCAAGATCAAAAGAAAAGCACAACTAACTGCCAATTACTGGGATGGAAGAGTGCCCATTGTGTGGTTCGGGATCAGGCGAGACAACAGCCTTGAAAACTTAATGAAAAATCAAAAACTTATACCAAATTCTGTCTTAGTTTTGACTTGACTCATTTCGCATTCCAATCGCTTATATATATATATATTCATATTTCGGTATCTTCTTGTCGATGTCTGTACTTTCGGTCTGGTGTTTATTTTCGTGGGTGTTTTGATTATCGCGTCTACATTGTCCCCAAAGTGGGACAAATTCTGTCCGAATGCGAATGGTCGGGCGAGTCAACAAACATTATTATATAAACCTGGTGACAAGGGAGCTTGCTCGTTCCCTTCCATACGAGTGTTTTATTGTATTTGTTCCCTCTTTTTTTTCGGGGAGTGGGATTATGATTCGGAGCATTTGATGCGATTGCAATTTTACATAACAGTCGCCGTCTGGGAGTCTCATACCCGTCTGGGGTCTCGGCCTCCTCCTCCTCCCCATGTGTCCTCTGTAGGTGTTTCATTCGAAGCTTAAGCGATGTGTAGACATAAAATACATATCAGATGGATGGACGGACGGACAGACGGACGGTCGAGGCAGACGGAGACACGAGCAGACGGTGAGAAATCCAGACTTCATAAAGTGATTCAAATTATACAATCATTTAGAAATTCAATTTTGGTCCAGACGACGAAACGTTGATCATTTTGATGATGATGATGATCATGGAGATGGGGATGAGGATAATGATGATGATGTTTAGATGTTGCAACAACAAAAGTAAATAAATAAATAAATCAGGAACGTCCTTGAAGTCTCGCTGTTTTGATTTCCGTATGCAAATTGACAGAGTATTCTGTTATTGAGGGATACTCGTACGAGATCCTATCCAATACGTCGATAAGATAAGCCGAGGGGATGCAGGGCCTTCTGAGGTAAATGGGGGGCCGTACCAGTGCGGTACCAGGCACCACGCACCACGCACCTCTAATAGGATATATCCGCCTAATTCAGCTCTCAACTGATGAACCACGCACTTTTCGAGAGCGTCCAGCAGTTAGATTAATCTACGCGCATCTAAACTGTGCGACGAGCAAAAGAAAATACTAATTTACTATACACACCTACTCGTGTATAAATCTTATAGTATGTGTCCTCCGAAAGTACAAACTGGGAACCTCACCACAGTGATAACAGATACAAGTTGAGTATCAAAACAATTTGATTAAGTCAAAACTAATTGTGCGGTCGACCCGAATCTTTTCAAATCAATCTAATCGCCCACGCACGAGTAATAATAGGAATTTCACTGAGTGCGGTTCGGGTTCGACGCTATAGGTGCAAAATGATTTCAAAACTATAAGTACTAGATAGTATCTGTGAGGAACGTTTCGTGATTTGTATGGGGATTGAAGTCCCAGCATTTAGTCTACTATTTGATTGAAGTAGTGTTTGAGGAGTGTCTTCTGGGTCATAGTTACGAACAAAACAAAATTATTAGGGGCTGATAGTAGGGAGAGTTATTGAAATGAGTCTTGAAGCAAGCAAACCTACCTCTATGCCACAATGGTTATGACCAGAAATATCGCTTTCTTTCTATGGTACGCGCGATAAGCCGTCTCGCGAGCCCACAGATACGGATACAGATACAAATACACTGCCGGCGGCGCAGATACACACCTACACATACACACACATAGACATCACTCCATCTGCGCCGGCAGATCCTCAGGCAACGTTGATTGGTCGACGACGCCAGTGCCGAATGGCAGCCGAACAATCAGCCAAAGTACACGAGTAAATTACACTGCGCGACTAACAACGAAATGTATGAATTTAATTATTATTGCAATTTAATAGTTAATAAATTGGTTCATATGCATATATGTTTGTATATGTCTTTGAACTCAAACAGAGTTTCGGAATCATGCTCTAATTCATGAAACGTGTCGGTGAAGAATAGAATAATTTAATATGCACAATTTACGTATTCCACACTCACTTGGGTAACTTTTAACGAATATGAGCCCCGACGGCAGAGCAGAGACAACTGCAATTTCTTGCAGTGTTGGCAGCAACGCAGCGTTTACGACCATAACAAAGTAGATATGCCCGGCACAACCAAATTTTTATTTAAGACTAAAAAAACGACTCGCGCAAATCACTTCATACTTGGTTCTTAGAGCGAACACATCGAGAAGCTAAGCTAAAAACCAGCGGGAGAGTCAGAAACAAAAATCAAATTAACAAAATAAATACATAGTTCAGTTCGAAAGCAGTTTTAAGCGAAAAAACAAGATATATGTACCTACACTTCCTACATACATACGAACCAAAGATGCAATTCCAGTGAAAATTGTGTAGGAGGGAAAATGTCCGAAAAGTTATAGATACGGGATCCAGAAGTGCCTGAAAACAATAAATAAACCTTCAATTGCCACACATTTGCCAAATCGATTTGACTTCGATTCAAAAAAGAACAGAAAGATGTCGAGTGTTAAGTGCTGTGAGAAGTGCGGACGGAGCAGGAGCCAAGTGCTCCTCCTGCAACTGCTGATACTGATGGTGATGCTGATGTCCATGTCCAGGGACTGTCAGGCGTCGCCGTCCCGCTTCAACCACTCCGCCTTCATGGACGGTGTCCAGTCGGTGGTGGTGAATCCTTACAATCGCACCATCCTGAATATGTTCGACCTGACCGAGGAGCAAATTCAAAGCATCCAGAACCGCAGCAATCCCAATACGAAGGACGAGACCACCCAGTCCTCCAATCACCAATATCTGGAGCTCGTCGCCTCGCAGCGGTGAGTACCGTACCGTACCTGGTTCGACATACTTGTCAAAGCGTTCGCCAAGCGGCTGTCAATCATTGTGGTCGCCTATTAGGACCCGAGAATAGAAATCTATTAAAAGACGCACCCGCACAAGGCAAATGACCAGCAAAAACGAATTTTTTTTTTAACATTTGCGTGTACAAAAAATGTTTCAAAAAATGAATTGTAAACAAAGTATTAAAACAAATGCATATTGCAAGGAAACGGCGAATGTATATCTCAAATGGGCCGTGGGGCATCCCATCTGTAAACACAATTTTCGGCTGCCTGCCGATTTTCAAAAATATTCCCAATTTTCTCGCGATTAGTGCAAATCTAGAAGCTGAAATCCGCTCAAGGCTAAACACATTTATGCAATTCTCGAATGGGGCCAACCACCTCGAATAAATACTGAAACGTGTACTTCTAGATTATTGAAAATTGTTCATCTTGCGCTTCGATGCCTCTATAACATGATTTACCCGAATGCAGAAATCTTAAATCGAGCAGAGAATAAATAAGTATCTATAAACATTATAAATTACAATTCTAAAGCTAATATTTCCACACGTGTTTCTTTGATTTTAAATATTTTATTAATTATTTTACATTAATGGAAGAATAATGTTCCCATGCTCGATCGACAAGAAAAAGGAAGATTGTAAGATTTAAAATCATTATTAATCTTTTGTATCGCCATAAATGCCAATATGAGCATCTAGGAGGGAACCCTTCAACCCCTCAATAGTACCCGTGAGATATTATCGCTGCATATATGGCCCATACAAATGAGATGCTTCCGCAGACATCTTTCAGACGGAAATCTATCAATGGTATCTGTGGTATCCATCAGATACTGTTGTACAACTGTCGCGACGCCGCTGCACAATGCAGACACTCTCATACGCTCACACAGTTGCAAGTTGCAGCCGTCGCAGTCATCGCAGTCGGAGGCGACCTCTGTATTTTTGTGTGCGTCCGTCCATCCATCCGTGCGCCCGCCGGGTGTCGGTGTCTGGCAAATGTCTGGGAGCAGTCTGGGCCATGCTGGCTCTGGCTCTGACTCCGGCTCCGACTCCGTTAATGAACTTTTTGTAGGTCGTTGCTATGCGAGACCGTCTACGTATCCACATACATACAATACGCCTACAATGCATGATGTTGGCTCAAACATATACATAAGTATGTATATGAATGTGTATGGTGGTCGTACTCGTACTCGTGCGAGTATAACAGCTGATATCTAAATTGTTTCATCTTATTTGATTGCTTTGGCAGTTCCGTTCCGTTCCGCACAGACCAGACAGAGGAAAATGTACGACGTATGACGTATGAGTAATATTGAGACAGTGAGCAGACATGCTTGTACTCGTACTCGTCCTCCCTCCCATCATCAGCCACCGTCATCAAACTTGCAGCTGAATGCAAACAGTTGTAGGCGTACTTTTGTGGCTACTAAGCGACGCGGTCTGAGTCGTTGACTGACTGACTGACTGACTGCCGCCCGACGTCTGCCCGACTACTGTTTGTTGCATGATAATGAAGTGCAACCGGCGAGACACTGTCTAGCCGTTTCTGCTGCTGCTGCTGTGGCCAAAGGCAACGGACTGCGAAACCACAGACCCAGACACAGAGGCGATGCATTCAAAGATATTTGAATGTTAGTCCCAGCTTCAGACTCAGACTCAGACTCAGACTCAACTTCAGGCTCAGCTTGAATGGAGGCCAATGCAAATTTTGGTCTCAGTCTATGGCCGTACAGTATCTTTCTCTCTCTGTCTGTCTGTCTTTCTATCTGTCTATGCACCTGTGCACAATGCCTTGAACTCTGCCTGTGCGCATGCCCAATTTGGAATTCCTGCAGATGGCCTGCGTGACTCACGCACGAAGAGTCACAGCTCACAGATACAGCTCCTCTAGGCTGGAAGCAATCAGGGACTAGGACTGGGAGAATGGCAGACAGAAAGACCGACCAATAATATGTCTAGACGGGTGCCCAGACAGACGACACGACTCAACGGGTTTTCAAGTTCATGCCACAGCACCTCCAGACAGTCAGAGGCCGAGATGGAGACGGAGACGGAGGCACAGACGGACACATAGACGGAGACACAGACGGGACGTAGACGGACATGGAGAAGGCAAAAAGTCAACTCCACTGCGGGCCATTTTGTCTGGAATTCCTTGGCCAGACAGATCCGATCGTAACATAAAAATTAACCATAATAAGCCAAAGGCGTTTCCACTGGACTCGAATCTTGGTTGACTTGGTTCAGTTTCTTTCGGTGGAGACTGCCAATCGACCTGATCCGAACATGTTTCATAATTTTTTTCGGCTAGACAAACTGCGCCTCAGGCAATGCCAAATAACCAAAGAAATTAATGTTATTTTCGCATATTTATTGGATTTTTGTTGTGTGTGTGTGTGTTTTTTGTGTCTGCACATTGTTGTTCCTGGGTAAAATCACAAAAAAGTATAACAAAGTAAAATAAAAGAAAGGAAAAGAAAAAGTCATTTGATCAACTTTTGCCAGGCGCGTCTCAATTACCGATCCAGACGACATATACAATTGTCCAATTTTGCGTGTGTGTGTGTGCGTGTGTGTAGATTAGATCATAGCTAAATAACTATTGTTGTCTTGTCTGCCCCAATCTGATTTTCTCTGCGTCCGCGTCTGCGTCTGCCCTGTCACGATGATTGTACTGCCACAGAGCAGACTCGTAGACAGACGGGACGGATCTCAATGGGGTTTTAAGTGACACGAGTCTGCCTGCTCCACCATGCACATTTAGCTCTCATTTATACAATAGTAATGGTACCATAAGTACTAGCTATAGTAAGTACTCGGCTCTGATAGTAATCGGCTTAGTGTTAGTTGGCCTATTTATAGCATCTTTAATCGATTTATTACATGTACTAGTATTAGGCAATCCAAGGCAGTTGTTATTGTTGATAAGCCTCTCATATGACTAATTGGTCAACTATTTTGCGGTTTAGCTAAAGCTGCGTTCTTTTGGCATACCTTTGTTTTAGATACATTAATATTAATCACAAGTGCGGAATTTTACTTATCGGAAATAACTAGAACTATAGGTATACACATACTATTGTATGAGCAATGCCCTTGCGGCATTATCATCCATTAGCTCAATTAAGTAGCCAGCAAACCGAACTTCTTTTATCTCAACTATTTGAATTGAAAAGTCCAAAGTTGGCCTCTTATCTCGAAGGCAAAAAAGTTACCAATACGAAGCGATTTCTAGAAGCCCACAAATAATGATAATCAGTGCGTGGATCCGTGGATCAGATAGATTGCGGTGGGGGCGGCCTAATAGAGTACATAATCAGTAATATTCCATAGTGGATTACTTGTTGAGAAGGATCCACTCTACTGCCCTCAATCCTAATCGTAAATAAACTCGAGACCATGTCAAACCGAAATACTCCTATACAAACGGCGATTAGAATTAGCTTATTCACTGCTGTCTGACTTAATTGAATAGAATGGGGAGACCGGTGACAAAGTGACTTGACTCTGTAACGAAGGCAGCGCTCAAATGTCAATTAAGAGAGTCTTACATAAACACTTGAACTAAATTAAATTCTATGAAATTCTATTCTATGAATAATGGGCTAGTGGTGGTATGGGGGCATACGAGTGGAAATAGGCACAGAAGGCACAAAATGGTGACAGTTATCAAAAGTGTGCGTCTTCTCTTTGCAGACTGAACGAGATTTTCAAACGCCTGCACAAGGCAATTTCCAACGAGCCCAATGTTAACAAGTCAGCCGAGAAGGCTGGCTACCCCATCTGCAATGCGGAGATGAGCATTCCCAACTGGCAGCAGGCCAACAACTTGACCCTGCAGTTCGCCAGCAGCGTGTTCGACCACAACGGCGACCGCCCGAGCAGTGCCCTCTTGCGTCTCTACAAGACCTATCCCGGACAAAGTCCCAGCCAGAGCCAGAGCCAGAGCCAGGGCCAGGGCCAGGCGGAGAGCACGGAACAGCCCACGGCCACACTCTGCCCCGACCAGACGGAGGTGGGTCCCCAGATTCGTGTGACGGTCTCCATTGTGCACCAGCAGAAGAAGAAACGTAAGTTAGGTGTGTAGCTAGCGGGGATTACGGCTGTCAGTACCGTCCCTCTAAGCCAGGATTCCCCTCTTCCACAGAGCGCAAGAAGCGCACCTGCAACACCACCATGTTCAGCAGCAGCCTGACCGGATGGGTAGAGATTGACGTTAAGTGCGCCCTGGCCTACTGGGAGCAACAGCAGCGCCAGCAGCAGCCCCAGCAACTGCTCCCCAGCGTTGTGGGGATGCTGATGATCGAGGTCCATGACGACGAGGAGAACCCCCTGAAGCCCGGCCTCTACTTCGAGCCACCCACTTGCGATCAGGCAGGTAAGCGTGTTGTTTGCCAAGTCTAACTAACTCCGCAAGACAGGGTGCAGATCTCTCCCAGTCTATCACTCTCATCATCTTTCTCTCACCATCTCCCAGTATCTCTCAGTCTCTCTCTCTCTCTCAGTCAGTCAGTGGCCGAGACAGGCCCCTTTTCCCATCAGAGCGTGCTGTCATTATTTGAACTTATTTACATTCTCGAAAAGGTCAATAGTCAGAGAGCTTTAGGGGGCCGGACACAGGCCAGACCCACGGCCAGACAGAAACACAAAAATTGTGCTGATAAAACCAAATCAAAATAAAAGTCCGAATATCAGTTTGTGCCACCGAAAACCAACAAAAAAGGGAAGGGAAAACCTTGTCGCTCGACTGATAGTTGTGTGCAGTCAGCAACATCGGCATTCGGCAGTAGTCTGTCTACAAGACAAAAACTGTCTGGATAGCTTCCGAAGTGGTTTGAGGGTTGCTCCGTCCGAATTTGAATTTCATGAGGTGTAAAAGTGGAGCTAAAGTAAAGTCTGGACCTACGAAGGTCCAGGGTTTTATTCATGAATTGAGAGTTTTCTTAATGGATCGGTAAGATAAGCAGATACACACGTCATCGCACAGATGTATCTACAGATACGGATTTAGCTGAAGATGCAATTAATACTAATCGCTTATACGCACCGTTGTGCCCTCTGCTCTGCTCTGTTGCCATGCTCGGCTTTATTTGTTGTTCAGTTACCGCGCTTTTTGCTGAACAAAACCACTGTTGTTCTTATTGTTGCTACTTTGTCGTTTTGCATGATGATCTTTTGTGCGAGTTTCCCACTGCATTGCATTGCATGCCTCGAGCTCCACCACCAAACCCCAGGCGATATTAATATGATCCCTCCACGTGTATCTTTCAGACCCTGCTGTCCCATGGAACGCATACGGATCAAAGACGTTTGTGCCTTATCTGGAAAGTCGGTCAATGCCCAGGTAAGCTGATGCCCTACATGAATACCACTACAACGTCATACTCTCCCGTTACCGAGTCGTTTGACACGGTAGATTCTTCTCTTTTTAATATTTAAAACATTAAAACATTAGATCATTGCAAGACGCCACGATCATGTTTCATTGGACGTTTGTTTTTAGAACTATAAATACGCCATTTGCACAGTGGCGCCGCCATCTGAAAACGCCAATCACAACATCTTTGCCACATGTATAAAAACTAAACATTTGCAACATTCTTCCGCAACACATACGCGATCACCAAATTTGCAACATATATGAAAATAATTAAATGATTTATTATATTCTATCTCCACAGATACCCAAGGATAGATGTTGGGTTTAATGGCAGTGCATCGTTTTCGCCCCACAACTGCTTGAAGAGCATATACAGTATCCCGAAGAGCAGGAGCCACATCAGCCCAGAATCAACCACACCCAATTCACAAACAATGGACAATTTGCTTGACGGGACAAGGGAGACGGAGAGCCAGCAGGAGCGGGTGCGGGAGCAGGTCCACCAGCATCACAGACGGCATCACCACAAGCACCGGGACAGTCCTGCATCCGAATCGGAGTTCGCGGTGGCCCAGTCCGAGGGCGAGGCGGAGGCTGAGGAACTCTTGGCAGCGGCGAGCAATACCGAGCCGATGGAACCATCTAACCATCGGGGGCTCAACCATCACCGCGCCACGCACCATCATAATGGACGCCATCACCATAAGCACCACCACCACTTGATGGCCCACAAGCAGGATTAGATCGGCTGGTAGACCCATATCATAGCACGCACATATTCTGTCTCTCCCCTCCCCCTCCCATACGTACCCATACCCATAAATATGATGGTCTTATTATTTAATTTAATTTTTTTTTGTTTTCTGTTTGTATCTTTAGGGCCAGTTGACTTAACTAGTTTTTAGTTCGTCGGTTTCCTAACCCAAGCAACCATACACGTGCCCGTGCACGGCGTTGTTTTAATTATAATTTAAAATTCGTTTTAAGTTAAACAAATTTTTGGTCGAAATTTGTATTATTAATGGATTAAATCTCTCTTATATTAGGAGTCTGTGATTTAGATGTGGTTGAATTTATGAATTTTTTGATACAATTGAATTATACAAAAACAAATTGTTGGAAACACAAGAAAACATTTTATACGAATATAATTATTAAATACAATTAGACTTGCCCTTGCCTTAGGCCAGAACGTAGACTAAATTAATCGATGCCTTATCAGAGCACTACAACACTAAACTTCTGCACAATCCGCTCAAAAGCGAAAACCACACCACACCCCAGAAGCCCTGCTCTAAATCTCAATTAAATCTCTATTTGTAACCCACAAAAAGTTTTCTGTTCATTTTGCTTTTAAGATTTCATAAGAAACTGTTACTTGAATTTGAGCACGTTCTCATTAAGTCAAACAGCTATTCAATGCGTAATCCTCCATACCATACAATACCATACCATACCTATTGATCATCAGTAACTAAGTACATTTGTAAATCTATAAAAAAAAACCTCTAATACAATATAAAATATACATATATTTAAAAGTCAAATATTTTGAATTACTTATCAGGTTTCAGAAGAGATATGATGCGGGTAGACAAGAAACTGTAACGTAGCGGCGAACCATTATCCTCATCTATACCTCGCTGAGCTACTGGATCTGATAAAGGGGCTCGTGTTGGACGATAAGATATGTTTCCTTTCGTGCGAAATCCGATTAGATAGAGCTACTTCAACTTTGCACTTAGCGATGTTAAGCATTCTGCCTATTTATGGCACCCAGCGGTTAGCCCATCAATTGTGACATCTCCTCAATCGCGACTACCTTGGTAAACCAACTACATACATCGACGTATCGCAATCTGAATCAGATGCCCAAAACGTCATCGTTATCGCAAGCAATCTGTGTGGAGTTATATGACCGTACAGCCAACGGTCGTTTGAATTCAACAACCACCTGATAAAACAATAAAGCTGTCAACTGCAAGGCCTATTCAAAGCTACACTGCTACGATCGCACGAGTAGTAATTTAAATCAGTTTGGGAATACCAGGCATTGGGAGCGCTTCAGCTGCTACAATGATTTTTAAAGTGTATGGCCAAAAAAAAAACAGTTACGACTGTTAAATACCGCAGCTGAGCTACGGGGAAAAACAAGGCTCATTGGCTGACTAAATTTGTGTATAACTTTTTATATGTACGAGTATACATCCTTCCTTCCTGTTTCGGAACGCAAGGACTTGTCGTTTATGGTTTGAAATTGCGTGAAGTGAAGTACCGATGAAGATTAGTTAATCGCAAATAGTCTTTCTGCCTGTTACAATCTACATACATACATACATAAGTGTATTTGTATGAAACTGATATACTCGCCCCCTCGGTCGGGTGCTGCTCATTAAAGTACGTTTTTTAAGAGCCCTAATGGAGTTGAGAGAACTTAGTCTGGCCGCGACTTTCGATCGAGAACAATGGTAGAGCAGAGCAGCTAGCAGAGTTAGCCGAAATCCGCTAAGCCAAGCAAATAAATGCACTAATCATTCATCAGTATTCGGCCAGTACGCATCGTTTCAACGACTTTGAAAACTTGTTTGAGCATAAATTAAATACAAACAAACACGAAAACAACAACAGAATAAAGGTGAATTAACTCGCGTAAAACGAATGCTGTACATATGTATGTAGGGAGATTTTTAACTTTTATTTATACAACTGATTCGAGGAGTGTATCTGTTGTGGTTTCAGCTTTTAGCTTGATTTTCTCGAGTGATTAATAAATGCAATTTCTTTTCCTTACAACGGGGATAAACCATAACTATGTTGTGCGAGCAATGCGATTATAAATTAGTGTTCGATTATCTTTCACGAGTTCTGCTTAAAGGAATTTAGATACTGCTATCACCAATGAATCACCGACCTTCAAGTTAAACGCCGCCAAATTGAACGACCACACGACCGGGCTAAGCCATAAAATCTATAGTTAATAATTTCTATATACTATATCACGCATGACAGCTGAAGTGGCATATTTACGGCAAAATGATACGAGTATCACTCGCCCTTAACCTTAACACAAGTCTGTTAGCTAGTGCTGAAGTGTCCAACCAGGATAAGTTTTAGAAACGCGTTGGCAACCAGCCAACCAGCCCCCAAGTGGTGGACAGGTCCACGCGAAGCTATGGAACTCGATTGCCTGACTTATCGCCCGATCCTCGAGTGTGGCTATCCCATTGTGATTTGATGGGACACAATCGCCACAATTCATGAGGCTAAAATACTGATACAGATTATACAAGATTACTGTGTCGTAAATTGTCCAATAACCACTCGGGGGGGGATTTTTCATTGCAGATGACAACGGATACGGCGAAGGACGTCATAAACAATGGCTACGAACTGGATCATGTAAGTATAGATACCTCCCCACAAGCATTGATTGATCATATTTGCATTCATCTTTGCAGAGGGAACTGGAGATACCAAATTCGGAACCATTCAAGGAAATTCCACGCGAAGACCGTAACTTGCCGCAACAGGGAGAAGATGGAAAGGGATTCTTCTACAACAATCCGAAAATGGGACGCATCGTGAAGATTTCAGTATACATTCTATTACACGTTGTGGTCGTGGGCTACTTCTCGTATGCCACTTATCACTATAATGACATCAGTAAGTACGAGTGTATCACTCACAATCATTATAATGTATCATTCTATCCGATTTATTTCTTATTATTAGCTAATTACGAGTGCACTTGGAGCTCAGATAATCCTCTTTGTGGCATCAATTTCTGCTCTGGCTATGGTATGCTCTTACTCCTGCTGGTATTCGTCTACTTTGGTCTGTTCTACTACTTTATATTCAAGCCCAAAGTGGGAATCTGGCTACACAGGGAGTACCTAAAGCCGGCTGCCCAAAAGTGGCACAACTTTAGCAGAACCAGGTACGAGTCTTTGATTATTTCACTATCGATCACATGTCGGATAAGATAATCGTGTACTTCGCAGAGCTGTCTCGCTGGCCAGCATAGCCTTGTTACTGGTCTTCCTAGCTATCTTCCTGTACTTCGAGACTAAGGACGAACCGCAGAAGCTGGTGTCGATGGTAGCCCCCTGCTTCTTCATCCTGTGTGGCTATTGCTTTTCCACAAAACGCAGTGCTATCAAGTGGCGCGTAGTGATCACAGGAATCACGTGCCAATTCCTGCTGGGCATAATCTGCATTCGCTGGGAGGTGGGACGCAATATCTTCGATTGTCTGGGCAAGAAAGTCGCCACGTTCCTCGACTACGCCAAAGATGGGGCCCAGTTTGTCTTCGGCGACTTCTTGATTCAAGCCGAAGTCTTTGCCTTCGCCATTCTTCCCGTGATTTTCTTCTTCAGCTTTTTCATCTCCATTTTGTACTACATGGGCGCTATGCAGTGGGTGGTGGTCAAGCTGGGTTGGATACTGCAGCAGTTACTTGGCACAACCGTCTGCGAAAGCGTGACCGCCGCGGCTAACATCTTCCTGGGCATGTCCGAGAGTCCCCTGCTCATCCGGCCCTATATCAACAAGCTGACTAAGAGTGAGATACACAGCATAATGGTCTCCGGATTTGCGACAGTCTCCGGCACAGTGCTGGCTGCCTATTTGTCCTTCGGGGCATCTGCGGCGCATTTAATTACCTCCTCAGTAATGGCTGCCCCAGCCACTCTGGCAATCTCCAAACTCTATATGCCGGAGACCGAGGAGAGTCAGACCACATCGGAGTCCATTGAGCTGGAGAAATCGTAGGTCAATGAATTATCCAGTGTGCCAATCAAGTTTGACTATTTTTCCATACAGCCAGGACTCGTCCTTACTCGATGCTGCGTCCAGCGGTGCCAGCAATGCCGTGCCCATTGTCCTGGGTATCATTGCCAATATCGTGGCTTTTGTAGCCTTCGTCGCCTTCCTCAACGGCATAGTCAATTGGCTTGGATATCTGGTGGGCGTCGATGATATCGACTTTGAGTGGATATTCTCAAAGCTGTTCATTCCGCTCGTCTGGGCCATGGGCGTGCCGAGCCAGGACTGTAATCTCGTTGCCAAGGTCGTGGCCACAAAGACTATAATCAACGAGTTTGTGGCCTACGAACGACTGGGCGCATACATACTAGCGGGCGACATCACAGTAAGCCTTGAATATCATATGGGGTCATCATTCACTAATCCTCAATGAATTTTAGGCTCGCAGCGGAGGAATCGCCACGTTTGCCATCTGCGGCTTTGCCAATCCCAGCTCCCTGGGCATCCTCATTGGCTCTCTGAGTGTCATGGCCCCGCATCGACGCTCAACCATCACCGCGGTGGCCTTCAGAGCCTTTGTCGTGGGCAGCATTGTGTGCTTTGTGTCGGCCAGTTTTGCAGGTCAGCTTACTAGATTAACCATAGAAGAATTTATGATTATTCAATGTCCTTTCAACTTTTCTTTCAGGCATACTTCTACAAGAAGGCGACGAAAGAGCGAACTACGACAGGATCATACAGAAATTGGCTAGCAGAAATGCCACGCACGTCTAGGAATACACAGGTTTAGATCTTAAATCTTTATAGGCAGCTTATCATCTTAAGAATAATAAAAAAAAAACCTGTTATTTATTAAACCAAATCCACAAACGTCGATATGGGAGGGTTTCTATTATCCATTAAAAAACCAGTTAGTTGAGTAGCAATGTGAGGACGGTCATCATAATTTTATAAGTTTTCCGGACGATCAGGTAATCCTGACGTCTTATATCATAATATAATGAACAGAGTATATATATAATTTAAAACCTATAATTCATAAAAAAATTCATAAGATTCAAACATAAACCATGGAACCACTAGAGGACGAAGAAGTACCCTCGAAAAAGAGAAAAATTCTTCTTCTTTTGCTCCATATACTTTTTCACATTCTGTGGATTTCATATTTCATAGCCGCTACAGTGGTTTATATCACTTATGGTAGGTGTTGTAATTTATTTGATGCTTGATTTATGGTACGAAATGATCACGTCCAGACAGGAAAACCGACAAATGTATTGATCCGAGCAGTTCAGACGAACCGTCTTCGGAAAACAGTACGAACCTAAATGCAACCGATTCGAGTGACGTTGATTCAAAAGACGATAAATTTAAACCGTTCATACTATGCAAAATGAATTGGTGCCATGGCTACGGGTTCCTCATATTTTGCTTTGTAGTTTTCTATATACTTTGGCTATACTACTGGGTCTTCAAGCCTTTTATAGGACAAAAATTGTATGACACAAGGATCGATCCGGCAATTGACAATTGGATAGAATTCAGTCGCCGCAAGTGAGTGTAGCGCACAACGAATGTTTTATTTGCTCCTAGTTGTTCCTTCTTTCCTAACCTGACAAACCACCGGATAGGATAATCTCTATTATAATGCTGCTTTTTGTTACCGTCCTTGCTGTGGCCTACTTGCTATTCGAATGCCGCGATGACTCGAGAAAAATGGTGGGACTTGCTGGACCGGTAGTTTTCATACTCATAGGATTCGCTGCATCAAAGCACCACAAGGACATTCCATGGAGGATAGTTACGCATGGTCTCCTGGGACAACTGTTGTTGGGCATTGTTTGCATCCGCTTGGCCTTTGGTCGAGACTTGTTTGACTGCGCTGGCGAGAAAGTCACTATTTTCCTTAGATTTGCCGATCACGGAGCCCGCTTCGTCTATGGCGATCGCATTTGCGACGAGTTTGTGTTCGCCTTTGCCATACTGGCGGTGATATTCTTCTTCAGCGTGGTCACCTCCTGCCTGTACTATCTCGGCGTGATGCAGTTCTTTCTGGGTGCGTTTGGGTTCATGCTGCAGTCCATGGTCGGTACTACAGTCTGCGAGAGCGTCAATGCGGCCGGCAATGTTTTCCTGGGCATGTCAGAGAGTCCCCTACTCATTCGGCCGTACATCGATATACTCACAAAGAGTGAGCTGCATACAATCTGCACCTCAGGCTATGCCACAGTCGCAGGAACAGTACTGGGTGCGTATATTTCGTTTGGCGCGTCGCCGGCCCATCTCATCACGGCCAGTGTGATGGCGGCTCCGGCCTCGCTGGCGTTCTCCAAGCTCTTCTACCCGGAGACGGAGGAGTCCCAAACAAGATCTGAAAATATCCAGCTGGAGAAATCGTAAGTTTTATTTTTATCTAACAACATCAAACATGAACATCCATCGTCTTCTGCAGATCGGAGACTTCCATCTTGGATGCAGCAACCAGCGGCGCTGCAGCCGCTATGATGATTGTCCTGGGTATTGTCTCGAACATTATTGCCTTTCTTGCCATTCTTTACTTCTTCAGTGCCACCACCGAGTGGATATTCGAGATGCTTGGCCTGAATGACGTCAGTTTGCTGTATCTGCTCAGTAAGATGTTCATCCCACTGGTTTTCATCATGGGTGTGCCGTACTATGACTGTGAGAAAATTGGACTTGTGGTGGCCGAGAAGACGTTCATCAACGAGTTCGTGGGCTACAAGCACCTGGGCGAATTTATCAAAGGCAACAAAGTTGATGTAACACCATTGTTTACTCTCACCATTTGACAGTATTGATCTTTTTCTGTGTCTATGCTTGCAGCATCGGAGCGCTGCAATCGGCACATTCGCCCTCTGCGGCTTCGCCAATCCGGGCTCCCTGGGCATCCTAATAGCAGCTTTGAGCGCCATGTCTCCATCCAGACGCTCGGATATAACGCGAGTAGCGGTGCGTGCCTTCTTTGCTGGCAGTTTTGTCAGCTATACATCGGCATCAATTGCGGGTAAGTTTGCATTCGTCACAAACATTGTCAGGATGATGCCATGCAGAAACATTCACTTTATTAGGTATTCTCATTCAAAAACGTGACATGGATACTATAAACAAGAGATTCGAAATCTATACCGGCTCCCACATGGACGACGATCGTGCGGATCATATTATGATGAATATTTAGAAATCTCAATTTTCGAAGACTACTTATTCGAATATTCAACGATTTAAACAATACAATCTACTCTTTTCAGAATGTTACACAAGCTGTCGATGACTTTTTTTACCTGCTCTTTATCCGCAGCATCCAGACCGACTGCACTCTGAACCAGCTGTAGGGAACTGTCGTGGAGTTCCCTTATTATTTCCTTGGGTGTGCTCTCAGCCCGCTTACGCTTCAGACACTGCACTTTACAGACGTGCGCCGTATCGCGCTTATAGCTCGATTTAGTCAGCAATTTACACTGTCTGTCCGCAGCGGTGGTCCCAGGCGATGGTTTCTGCTGCACTGCTTCCAACAGGGGTAGCACTATTTTATCTATGGAGTGGCGTGCACTGAATGCCCTCAGCTGTGCATCATCGCTGCCCTTGCAGGCATGTAGAAACTTCTGGATATGCCAGTTGCAGTGTCCGACAACAGGAGCCAGTCCCCGTAATAGTTGCAGCTGTGCGGATGGGCTAGAATGGCCCACCAGCTGGAAATATACACTGGTGAATGTATCGCACTTTTCGTCCTTGAGTAGCTCCCTGACGAATTCATATGTCTGTTGAAGCCATTTTGAAAGATCCGTCTTCTTTTGGTGCGCCAATAGCTCCATGATAGCAACCTGTTGGTAAACCAAACTTCAGAAACCCTTATATTCCTTTCGACTCTACTCACCACTTCATAGTACAGCTCTATTTTACTTTGTGCACCATTGCCTATGAGCTGCAACCGCTCCAGTAGAGTTTCCACATATCTGTTATTTACAGGTGCAACAGCACGGAGATACCGAAAATTCTGAGCAGTAAATGGTGGAGGCTCATGTTTTCCGATGCCATGGAAATACTTAAAGAAGCGCTGCACATGCCACTGATTCGGGCTATGTGAGAACATCGCATACGAGTTGTTGCACTCTTTCCAGTAATTAGTAGCCTGGATTAGCGTGTTTCTGTTCCAGCCAGGATTTGCCTCAACCAACCTGTAATGTGGGTATGGCATTAGTTGCATAAAAGGGGAATCAAAAGGGGAATACAACCGAAACGAGAGCATTAGTATATCTGCACAGACTTGTGATGTGACGGGATCCTCTTGAAACACACCAGTGCAAAAGTAGTTGTCTAATTCCTCACATTCTGCCAAGTACATTAGGCTGGCAAAGGCTTCAATTGCTCGTTCGTAATGGTCAGCGTTGACAAAATGAGAGGCGTCTGACAAGAAAATTAAATTATAGCACGAACGATCCTCATAAAGTTTTGTACCACACATAACATACCTCTAAATATGTATTCAAATATTTTCTGCAATGTTTGACAGGTATAAGGCGTCAGAGCTGCATTGTCTACTGTGACAACACCTACAAAATCAAAGCAAATATCAAAAAAGTAATTTTCTGCTTCCTCTGGGTCGATAAGTAAAGAAACAAGTCGCTAAAATGTAGGCATTCGATTATCACACATCACAATTAAGTATGGTGTCAACATACCTTTTGAAAGTCCTCCAATGGATAGGCCATCTCAAAGATTTTCAGTAAGCCCGGTCGTATATATTTAGATATAAGTAATGAAATATTTTCGCCAAGATCTTGAGTCCTAAAATAAACATGATAAAATTCAAGAAAAGCGTGGAACTTGACCGACCTACGATGAGACACTCATTAGCAAATCAATAAGGGCTTCCGAAATAGATTCGTCAACATGCTTCCACTTAGTCTTAATAAGTTCGTACAGCATTAATAAATATGTGTGCGTTACTCGCAGATACTCTTCCACCTTTTCCAAGGGCACAGTTAGTGCATCCTATGAAAGAAAAGCCTACTTTTAGAGCTTGTAACTAATTGAATGTTCTTATGAGTGCTTACTTTCTTTTGGATTGTTTCCATTTGGTTGAGAACCGTGTCGCACAGATGCAAGACGGTTTCCTTGAGCCAATCAGGCATAGTCCCAGCTTCCCATTGGCCACGATCAGCATTTTGCATGTAGTGCAGGCAAATATAGGTCATCGTTTCGCTTGTTTTTATAAATGCCTGCAGATGGGTTATCTTAGCGCTTAGGAAACCAGAAATTTCGTTCATCTGTTGGATCACTGTCAAATAAAGCCTGAAGAGTGAGCTGTCGCGTTGAAACTGCGACAATAACTTACGGGGTGTTATACGCGCATTCACTTTCCTTGCACTGGCGGTGGTGTCTGTCAGCATGGAAAGCACAGCTAAGTGTAGGCCGATGGCATTTGGAACATGTTCCTTTAGGACATTGCGCTTGGAGCTACTTTCACTGGAGGGAAATTCCACATTTTATCATCTTGTAAATGAAACAGAGTCGCCAACTCACCTTTCACTAAGATAGCCGTGCACAATGGAAAATAGGAAAAAGGCGGCAGCGTGTACTAGACGTTCACCCGCCTTCAGCAACGGTTCCTTGGACGCTGTTGTAAATTTCAGAGCCTCCGTAAGTACGGTGATCAGATCGCTGCAATCGACATCAGTCGACGATTTCTGTAAAAGACTGAAGACTTTAACATTTTTTTTTTTGGATAGTAGTCCATGCACTCACTTACCATCATCTGAAACCAATCGCACATTTGTTTAAAAGCAGTGACGCAGCGAGCCGCTTCATCAATATATGCCCTGAGTACTTTTTTAAGCCATAGTGTCAACACATCCACAGTCTTGACGGTGTTATTCCTTATGCATTCGCTGCAGCTTTTTAACGCCGACGCAACATCGATAAGGATAACAATATCTTTTTGGTCTATGCTCTGTAGCTCACGGAATGCAACCAATGTTCCCTGTTCTCCCGAATTTTCAGCCATTTCCTCGAATTATAATATTATTTTAGTTTTCGGTACCGATTGGCGCCAAAAATCACTCGATAACAAATCGAATATAACAGAAATGTATTAACGCAACCGAAAAATAACCTAGTCGATAGGCAGGCTTTATTGGAATTCTGCATCGCTGCAACATATATTTCGGCATATTTCTGACGGTCAGACAGTATATTTTATAGACAAATCCGCGGTCACACTGATTTTCCCCACCACCCTGTCTAGCTCACACACCTTGCATATGCTTATACTTTTCGTAGTATTTTCCAGTATTTTTGAAGACGCGTTATGGACTCACCTTCTTGTCCGATGCACCAATGTAGAAATCGTGTAGAAATGCCCTATACAGCCATGTCAAAAAGTGCATAACGGAGGTTTTTCACACTGGCGCTTCCATGGGGCTTGTATGAAAAAAAACGGCCAAAAAATTCCAAACGTACATTTCCCCTTCAGGTGTCGCTTTTGGTAATTACATACAAATGTAGTTAACATGTATCAAATGTGTAGTTTAGCGTATAGTTGTTATGTAAAATAATTAATTCAGTGGACATTTTTGTTGCTTAAACCTCTTTTACAAACAGTCCTTTAAAGATGAGAACTTAAAATAAGCCAATCTTGTAGGAAAGTGATTCGTCAATCGGATAAAACTATGAGTTCAGATCTGGGGGTCCTAGCCGGCTAGTAATATTCAACCGAATATCAAAAACGAGGAATATGATGCACTTCAATCCGACAGTATATTTATGGTATATTTCGGTATATTATTCAGGGTCAGACCGTACATTGTATGGACAAATCCATACAGTCACACTGCTGATCTCGCACACGTTGTTTTGTTTACAAAAAATGCAACGAAAGGAGGCGAATCCGTTTCAGAGCCTGGGACTACGTCCTTGGATGGTGAAACAACTAACAAAATTAGGTAACTATATATATTTACCACTAGATAAAGCCTGCTTATGTGTGAACTTTATTTGTATAGGCCTCAAGGGCGCAACACCTATCCAACAGAATTGCATTCCCGCGATATTGTCGGGAAAGGATTGCATTGGCGCCGCACAGACGGGATCGGGAAAGACCTTTGCCTTCGCCCTGCCCATTCTGGAGAGATTGAGCGAAGAGCCAGTTAGCCATTTTGCCTTGGTTCTAACCCCCACACATGAGTTGGCTTATCAAATATCGGAGCAGTTTCTGGTGGCCGGCCAACCAATGGGAGTGCGAGTGTGCGTCGTATCCGGCGGCACTGATCAGATGATCGAAAGCCAGAAGTTAATGCAGCGTCCGCACATTGTGGTGGCCATGCCCGGACGTCTGGCCGATCACTTGACGGGCTGTGACACGTTTTCATTCGATAATCTAAAATATCTCGTTGTGGACGAGGCTGATCGCATGCTGAACGGCGACTTTGATGAGAGCTTGGCCATAATCGAAAGATGTTTGCCGAGTACCAGGCAGAACCTTTTCTTCTCCGCCACTATGAAGGACTTTATGAAGGAGTCCAGTATATTCCCCATATCCAAGGATGTAAGTAGATCTCAATGACAAAAAGGATTAATTTCAACAAACTTGTTCTTTGTTTAGTGTATCGAATGGTCGCAAGACTCTAATGTAGCCACTGTAGACACTCTGGATCAGCGATACCTGCTGTGCGCCGACTACGATCGTGATATGGTTCTGATCGAGTCGCTGCGCAAATATCGCGAGGAAAACGAAAATTCCAATGTGATGATATTCACAAATACAAAAAAGTACATGCAACTCCATCTACCCCGAAAAGCTAAACTCAAAATTTCGTCAATTTCAGATACTGTCAACTTCTCTCCATGACCCTTAAGAGTATGGACATTGACAATGTATGCTTGCACGGGTTTATGCGGCAAAAGGAGCGTGTTGCGGCCCTCAGTCGCTTCAAGTCCAATCACATCCGCACACTGATTGCCACGGATGTGGCATCTCGCGGCCTGGACATACCCAGCGTGCAACTGGTGATCAATCACATGCTACCACGGACGCCCAAGGAATACATTCATCGCGTGGGTCGGACAGCGAGGGCTGGCCGCAAAGGCATGTCCATTTCCATATTTCGATTTCCGCGCGACCTCGAACTTCTGGGCGCGATTGAGACAGAAATTAACACAAAGCTTACAGAGCATCCAATAGATCGTATGTGGTCATCCTACCTTCTTATATACATATATCCATACTGAAACCCCCTATATTCTATATTTCAGAGCGAATGGTGGAGCGAATTTTCATGCAAGTGAATGTGACGCGACGTGAATCGGAGATGCAGCTGGATAACAATGACTTTGACGAGCGTGCCCAAAACTACAGACGCAAAACGTGGATAATGGAGGGCAAGGATCCAGATGAAATGGAAGCACTGTAAGCTGTCTAATTTTCGCTTTTTGAAATCATTGAATAATTCTTTTGATTTCTATGTGTGCAGCTATCGCAAAAAGCAAAAGGATAAACTGAAGGAAATTCGTCGAAAACGGAAACTTCAGCAGGCAGACTCCGCCACTAGTGAAGAGGGCAAAGTACTCCTACAAGACGAACGCTTCAAGTCCGTAGATAGTGCGCGATTCGAGAAAAAAGGTAGAGGCCGGAGTCGATCTTCTAAAGATGGGGTGGAAGGTGAACCACCAAAGAAGATGAATCGAATCAAACCGAACGTTTCATTGGACAAGCAGAAAAATTTTAAATCGAAAAGAAAAGTTAAGGGACATTTATAAATAAATGTTTATATAATAACAAAATAACTTTTGAGCTTAAACTTCTAAGTAGTCTGCAAATTGCACACTTAAATAATTTTAGAACTTCAGACATGCTACGGCTAGAGAGCCAGGCACTTTACTTTACTACGCTTCTTGCTTCATCAGAAATCAGTCTAGGGCGATCGTCAGGAGGGCATCCTCGGGATGGACCTCAAGCAATGCCTTGGCGCCATCGTTGAATGGATAGGATATGCTGCCATCTATGACCAGATCTGTAAGCGAATACAAATTAGAAATGATGAAATGAATACAAGATGATGCCCATCGACTACTCACTGGCATCGATGCAGTGCGACTTAACGAACACATTCTGCACGAAATCTCGCTTCTTAAATGTCTTCGGCGAGGGCCAAACGCCCACACAGATCTGCTCCCTGATTGAATAACAGAGCCGCGGATCGTCTGGTGCGAAGAGCAGCCCTTGGTTATACCGATGGGCGATCTCCTGAGTATTCTCGCGTAGTCGGAGCACATCGGCAGAGTTGCTATTGGGCAGCGATTGAAGCAAATCGTCAACGTCGCGGCTGGTGATGCGATTTATGCTTGTGTGCCACGATGTGGAGCCGGTGCCAGTGCTAACGCACAGTCCGGAACATTTTGTTTTGTTTACCACGTCCTGATGATTGAGCACAAGCTGCAGATGGGACACACGGGACGAGATGTGCTCGCCAATGAAAACCTGACATCGAATGGCGCAATATAGTTAGGAGTAGTTTGAAAGAGTCCTACTTCGCACTCACCTCGTTCAGAGCTAAATAGGGTAGGATGCGCTTCATCTTTGCTTTGTATTTGGTGGCCATGTGATTATCCAGCATTTCAGGATCCGTTGTCACCTGCTCCATCTTCACTTCTGTATGTCGGAACAGATCTGTGGACTCCGGAATCTTGCCATTGCTGCCCAGCAGCGTGGTGCGGACTCTTGAGCGATGCATCCACTTGAAGTCGCCCTATAAAATGAAGAGAATCCCCAGTATCACACACGGATAACAATATTCAAGTAATCAAGCAGAACATAACTTACGCTCTTGATGCGCGCCACTGCATCGGCGGGATTATCCGAATAGTGCTTGGGTAGCATGAGACGACCCTCCGAGTGGAGCGGATCAGAGTTGAAGCCCACAATGGGCGTCTTCTGCTGGCTGAGGGCAAAGAGGGGACTGGCGCGACCGGCGGACAGCAGAAAGGTGCCATCACCGCCAACAGGAACGATGACATCCGCCCAGCTCATGACATCTTTGCTCAATGAGCTTCTAAATTCAAGTCTGCTCGTTTAGTAAAGTCAACAGCGTGAGGGGGGCCACATGAGAGACACATTATGTGGATGGTGGAAATACAATTGTAGTAGGTGGGGTAGTAATCGACGATTATGACGGCGACGACACAAGCACAGAACCACATAAACACAGCAACATCGACAAACGTTAGCCACACTCACACTCGCACTCATATTGAAGGCAGCGATACGCACCTGCTGGACAGCTTGACCTCGCACCCGACATCCTGGAAGCTCTGCACGATACGCCGCTCGAAGTCCTTGTGCAAATTGTGCAGATAGAGGACCATCTCCACATCGGTGCCCCGATCGCGCAGCTTCTGCTCCAGCTGCTCCTTCGACAGTCCCGGATGCCGCAGCTGCTCGAATTCATAGCGCGAGAGTTTCGTCACCACCAAAGCCCGCTTAAGCTTGAAGTTCGCAGGCGTAAACTTGGCATATTCTGGAACCAATTGAGCGCAATTGAAACTTGGTTAGTTCATCGTTTGGGTTCCCCCCACAACGGCGGGTAATTTACTTAGCCCTTCTGGTACAATCCTCTTCGCACTCAGGATCATTTTAGGTACAGACAGTCCTTGGAGGAGACTGTGTGTCCACGACTATATAGTCGGCAGAGTACAACAATTTGGATTTCTAGCAATGCCAAAACACATGCCCGAGCTGATAATCATAATGGAGTAACAAGTGCCTACTCATCAGCGAGAAGCGAGTGTGTGTGTACGAGTATAACCGAATGATTGAGGGAGATTGCCAACCAAAAAAAAATGTGAATTGCGACCCAGGAACTACAATCACCTCTGTCGAACAGTTTGATTCTGTTAGTTCTAAAAGTCCTTCTTACCTTTGGAAAATCGCTGCAGGAATTGCTTCGATTTCAACATGGTGGGCACAGGCGAACAGCAAACATTTATTTGAATGTTTAACGTTTATTTTTCGTTTTCTTTTTGCTTTTACAAAACTAAAAATAATGGGTTCAGATTTTCTTTGTTCTTCTAATTGTCGTATGCCGGCATTCGATCTGAAAACAAAATAATTATTCACTTCGCGGCGTTGCGTTCAATAAATGGTCTTGAGCTCCCTATCCACTTCCATTCAGCTATGTCACTTCCACGTTCTAACTATGTAGCAGATTAACTGATTGATTATTATTTTATTCTGTTCTGCTTTGCTGTTCCTCCATCGGCGAATCGCTTCTGTATGAACATTCGCCTTTTGCTGTAAATTTATCGCCGTTTGTTTCTATTTTCGTCCGCTTTCGTTTCGCTTCTCTTCTCGCATCTCGGCTCGGCTGTCCATGAGTACTTTTTTTGTTGTGCATTGCTGATAAGCAGCTCAACATGCTCTTATCAGCAAAAATACATATATAAAGAAAAAACTCAAATCTTGTTCGTTCTCTGTAGTGCCATTCACTGCACCACTCGACCCTACTCTTCTTCTTGCCCTGCAATACACCAACGAACATTCACACTCGTCCGGCACGACCGGGTGCCCGCTAATATTCTTCCATGTTTGAATATTTACACTTAACCTATTGTCATAATGAACTCTTAATTATACTTCCGGCGACAAGATTGTACAATACTTTCCTGCATGGCATCCAGTTTCACAATTCGCGCTGCTGCGATGTATTTTTATTATGGACCCCATAGTTTGTCTAAAATAATCATACATATAAAAGTCTTTATATTATTTAGAGTCCTTATATTAGGCCATACCTTGCTTTCGGAATCCTTTTCAGCATTAGACAGCAAATGCAACACGTTTTTGGCAACTTCATGAACATCGACCGTTTTACAATCGCTTAGAGTCATACCAAGCGCCTCACCTATAAACATACCACGAGTTGGACGAGCTGGACCAACACTCAATGATGATGAGCCGTCGACTAATAGCTCCTGACGATTCAAGAGTAAAAAGTTATTGGGAGGGATTCGCTTTGTCGAGTTCATCTCGATACTGCTGTTCCAATTGTTTGCAATGATATCGCGTCGGCTGGTGTTCGGATGATTCAAGCCTATCCCGTCGCCTATCCCTATTATATTATTCGAGAGCAACCCGCCGTGGCCGTTCGAATTGACGGCAACTTGATTATTCGAGAGCAACCCGTGGCCGTTCGAATTGACGGCCACTTGATTATTCGAGAGCAGCCCGCCGTGGCCGTTCGAATTGACAGGTCCTTGATTATTCGAGAACAACCCGCCGTAGCCTTTCGAATTCACGGGTCCTGGATTATTCGAGAGCAGCCCGCCGTAGCCGTTCGAATTTACAGGTACTGGATTATTCGAGAGCAACCCGTCGTAGCCGTTCGAATTCACGTGTTCTTGGTTATTCAGGAGCAAACACTCGATCCTGTTTGAATTTGCAAATCTTTGATTGTTCGGAAACATCCCGACGCGGTTATTCGAATTAACGGGGCCTTGGTTACTCGGGTACAGCCCCCCGAAGCTGTTTGAATTGGCAGATCTTTGATTGTTCAGGAACAACCCGCCGTAGCTGTTCAAATTCACGTGTTCTTGGTTATTCTGGAGCATACACTCGATCCTGTTTGAATTTGCAGATTCTTGATTATTCGAGAACATCCCGACGCGGTTATTCGAATTAACGGGGCCTTGGTTATTCGGGAGCAGCCCGCCGAAGCTGTTCGAATCGGAGGTGTTCATATGATTCGAGCGCATCATAAAGTTGCTGTTCAAATTAAAATTATCAGTATTGGAACTGTCATTAAAGCTGGGTCCATTGGGACCAAAGTTTTCAATATGGACATGACTATTTGGGATATTTAATACGTTTTGCGATTCACCAAAGCATTCGTTACGCTCACGAAATTTATAATAGGCTTCTAGACCACGATGGAAATTTGCAGACACGCGGTTTTGATTGTAGTTTTCCATACTGTTGTTACGACCGTTTATATTGTAAGGATAGGCTTTGCCACGCTTTTGAATCGCTTTCTTCTTAAATTGTTTTCCGCGATTTCCCACGCTTTCGGTGGTCCTGACGCCAAGCCGCGATTTAACACTCGGACGTGGAGGCGTCTGACTTAGTGGTTCACATTGTTCAGTACTCGAATTTACATCATTTGTTTCCAGGCTTTCATTATACATTAGCTGATCGAAATCGTTCTTCTCGAAATTAAGCTGCTTTATATTCGCTGCGTATGTGGCATCGTCCACATCGATGCTTTTCTGCACCGTAGGAATATTGCAATCACCATCATCGTCTTCGTCCTGAGATAAGTCAGCCTCGGCGTCTTTGTAAGACTGTAAATGCGCCGATATTCTATTGAATCGTTTTGACATCTGATATTCTTTTTTGTAGTAAATGGGCATTTCGTCTTTGCGTATTTTCATGAAATCATCTGCGAAAAGAATTTATTTACAGATATACACGAGTTTCGGAGCCCGTTTCATTTTATAGAACGAAAACTAATATAAAATCGGCTTACCCAAGCTCCATAGTACGGCGTTTGCATTAAATTTCGTCATTGTGCTAATACAAATTCTACGAAGCCATTTTTTAGAAAACCCGGCGTCACAGATTTACAGTTATGAAAAAGGGTTGCATTTATCGCATTTATCAATATACCGAAAAGCTTGTACTTCACAACCAGGGTGACCGTTTCTGATATTTTTAATACTTTTCGGTATTTTCTGAGGTCAAAATTGAACCGATCTTATCGGTGTATAATGGTATATTTTGTCAATTTAATAAAAGCAAGTGTTTAAAATAAGCCAGTCAATTAGAAAATGCGGGCATGGCCAAGTGTTCTATACAGCGAGTAATATACCACGGAATATCAAAAGCGAGGAATATGTATAATAGAACTTGAATACGTCAGTATATTTATGGTATATTTTTAAAATGAGACGGTATATATCGGTATATTTCTGAAGGTCAGACCGTATATGTTCTCGATAACTCCGCGGTCACTGGCTTCCGGTCACTTTTACTTCACCCGCGTGCGAGATTGTTTGTGAAAAATGTAAGTGCTGGCCAATGAGCGACTGTTTTTGAAGATTGCATCGAATATAACTGCAAATTGGTTCATTAAACTTGTTTGCGGAACTCAATGTTGCAAGATTAAGTTGTGTGTGCAGGAAAATCGTACTAGTCGGATTGCAATGCATTTTGCAGTCACGTGGTCTAGAACGCTCTGCTGCTTAAACAGCCCCTTTGCCATTAGAAACATCATTTAATGTGTTCAATTATATTCCAGGTGATCTCTTATGTATGGGATGCTGCGACAGTGCGCAAGGCAATTGAGAATGGGTAAGTTTAAGCATTTTCTATCGGCTTAAGTGCGCGAACACGAGTCGCTGGTGTAAAGAACTCTCCACTTTAGCTAGTGCTTTTTACTTGTTCGTAGATAAATTGTACTTTGCCCAAGCATAACCCAAATTTGTAATAACTGAATTTGCGGTGCATATTTTCTTTGCAAAGCCGACATTTTGATTCCCTACAACATAATGTGTATACTAAACGTTTTTACCCGGACTGTACTAACGATCCATTTTTTCTGTGCAGATACAAAATGGAAGTCTTGATATCCCGACCACGTGTTCAACGACTGATGTTCTAAATGGTAATTATACATTTGATATCTTCAGGGGGAGTGGGATGCATACTACATACTCTGATGAATATAACTATTTTCTGACATCTCTTATGAACCGTTGTGATTCAATACAATTTGTGTAATTTCTGAAGCCCTTCTAAAAGAAATTTAGTTTTATTTGTAATCTAATTGACTAACGAATATCAATTGCTGTTTTGCAGGTTATCGGTGGATATCTATTGAATGAAGATGCTGTGGTCAATGCATGTACTCTGCCGGTCATTTACACGTGTATAAAAACATGTGAATATACATCTAAATGGTAATTATAAAGCCAGCATTAGTGGCTCCAGCATTGAATATTCTGATGAATATCTTTATTTTCTGACATCTCTTATGAACCGTTGTGATTCAATACAATTAATTATTATCTACTGAAGCTGCTCTAAATAGTTTCTTATGTAATTTTTGATAAACCTAGTTAAATAGTTATCTTTCCATTTTGCAGGTCTTTTGGTTTTGTGGCAAAAGGAGCCGTATGGAAATTAATACATGTGGTTGAACATTTTAGGTTAGTATTGATAGACCTTTGTGGGTTAGTAGCATGGGGACTTCAATGATGATCACTTAAACCATTCACAGACACCATATAAAAGTTGGGTGTAGACAAACTTCTTCAATATTCTTTTGGAGATAGGGAATCTCGCTTGACCGGGTATGGATCATGGTTAAAAAATTGGCACTGAGCTTCATATACCAACATTTTTTATATTACAAAAGTAGAATGCGCCTTACTAATAATAAATTTCTCTCTTTGCAGGTTCGACACGGCTACAGTTACGTCCCACGTGCCTATCCACCACAAATATATGCACATAGCCCAATAAATGCTAATAAATGACTACATTTCAAATATTAAAAATCGTTTTTTACTAAATTTGCACGTTCTCGAAGGGCCAGCTCTTGGTCCTGCTTGGCGATCATGCGATCGCCCTTGGACTTCTTTCCTATGCCCAGCTTGGGCAGTCCACGGTTGAGACCCTCGAGCAGAACACAGGCCTTGCATGGTTGCTGGGACGAAATAAAGCCGCAGCGATTGCACGTGCCGCGTACAGGGTTTTTGGCCGTATCTTTGAAGCGCAATTGCTCGCCCGAGTAGATGATGTCCATTATGACGGAGGGGCGCACTTTCTCCAAATCCTTCAAGAAAGCCCTGGCGTGACCCCGATACGCGTTCGGAGCAAAGACGCATTCTGTCGAAAAGTAGACCAGCTTCTTGTAGTGCGCGTACATGACAATCTCCTTTTCGTAGCTATATTTGAGTGGCTTGACACGCGGTATGGAATCTTCGCCACCACCAGTTCGGATGTCCGTGCAACGTCGTAGACGAGCCGTGTCACCACGCAGTACATTCATCAACACAGTCTCTGCAATATCGTCTGCGTTGTGGCCAGTAGCTATGCTGTCGACGCACAACAGCCTTGCGCCCCTGTCCAACGCCTGACGCCGAAATACTCCGCAAAATGTGCAGTTGTTGGAGCGTCCGATCTGCGACACAATGCGATCCATAGTCCAGCCGTAAAGCTCCTCGTAGGACAAGATTTTAAGTGGCATTTTATAATCGTCGCGATTCTGTTTAACCGTCTCCAGACTGTCATCTCGATAGCCAGTAATGCCCTCGTCAATGGAAAGCAAAACAAGCTCTAGACCGTAATCGTGGCGCTCATTCAGCAGTTTCATCCTGAAAGGTCAACAGTTAATTGAATAAGAATCGTACAAATCTTCGTACTTACACGTGTGCCAGAACCGTAGAATCCTTGCCACCGCTTGCTGCTACGGCTACCTTCTCACCCCGCCGGAACAGCTTGCTCGAGGTGATCGTGTGGTGGATTTCAGCCTCAAAGGCGGCAAAGAAACACTCCTTGCACAGGGCATCTCCAGTTTTTGGGCGCTTTTTAAAACACGTTGTTCGGATATAGTACTTGCGGATTACATTACTCGACTTGGGACTCACCTTGAGCGCTGCCGCTTTGCCACATTTTGCCTTACAATTTATTGGCATTTTCAGATGCACATTCGGATTTCGTGATTGTTTTGGAATCTATCGAAGTCTATCGAATTTTCCAGCATTTTACAGCACTGTGTTTACAGTGAAAAAAGTAAACACAAAAGAAACTTACATATTAATTAATTACGATGAGTTCCAAAGAATCCAAGGCGCTAATCAAGGATATTCGGGAGACAATCAAGCTTGGGAAGCATGCGGATGCCATTCACAAGTGCGAGGTGTGTACACGTCAGTTGGCTGTTGCATTTTTAAAGTTGTTGATTGCAGCGCCTGTTGAAAGCCGACCCAAAGAGCAATGCAATGGGATACTTGTTGCTTGGTGCCGCCTATCAGAGCTTGGACAAGACAGAGGCGGCAAAGAGCCTGCGAAAGTCGATTGAGTACACAGAAGGCCCCGCTACCGTTGCTCTGCAGGGACTCTCCAATTGCGCGCCCATTGTCGAGCTTCCAGAAATCTATGATGAGCTTGTGGATCTGCTACCGTACGAAACTGTTAAAATGAAAGACGCCCATCCAATAGCTAATTTTAAAATTTCAGTGAAAAAGCCCTAGACTACTGGGAGAAGCTATTCACCCTGGCCTCGGATGAAACTGTGGCTCCTCTGTGCTTTAAAGTGTTCAAAAAGCGGGCTCAGAATCCTAACGATTCCCATTATGCCAAAATCCAAGAATATCTGGGACGCATTTGGTTTGCTCAGGATTTTGAGATATCGGCAGAAGATAATGTACTTGTGCGTATCCTTTCCATAGCAATTCTAACATAAACTAATACCTCGAACTTTTGCAGTACAATAAAACGATGGAAGCACTACTGGATATCTCGGAGCCAAGTGTGAAAAGTGTGGTGTACAAACGATTCCTTAAATGGCTATACAAGCAGAAGGACTATGTGGCCTGTGTGCGCCATGCCTGCAACATGACCGTCTCCCATCCCAAGGATGTCTATGGCTACGAATGGATATGCAAGACATACTGCGAAAACCACAATCAGCTAGACACTGGTGCTTGGCAGCAGGAGCTGAAGCAGCCAATCCAAGCATATGCCGATCAATTACTGGAGCTGAACCCCAGCTCTAACTTGGCCCTACTGATTAAGGCATTCGATCTCTTTGCCCAGGGCCAATATGTTCTGGCCAGGCAATTTGCTGTGCAGGCTCATCAGAGCCAGCCCAACTACAAGGTGACGCTGGAGCTCCTGGCCCGAATCCATATGGAATTCGGGGCGTACAAACTGGCTCTACAACTCTGGCAGCAGCTAGGCCAACAAAATGAAGCGTCTGCCCAGTGTCTCTCTTATGAAAAGGATGAATCCAATTTGAGAGAAGCCGTCAAAGTGCTGCTGCGCCATGATAAATCAGTGCCCAATGTTAGAGCCCTAGCTCGGTAAGTTACCCTATCATATCCGATCATAAGCTGCATAACTAAAATCATCCCTTGCAGCTGCTACATCAAGTTGGGGGAGGTTCACCTGCTCAAAGATCTTCCATTGGATGCACTTTCCAAGGCGGAATTTCTCTTGTAAGCAAAGTAGGAATGTTTATGGAAAAATTTACACGTAATTATCCGTTTTATTAATCAGATCACCAGCTGAAGCCATTCGGACTATCGCCAAAGACGAGTCTTTTGAGGCGCTGCTTCTATGTGGCAAGCTTCAGATGTTGCAGAAAAACTATGCAGAGGCCCTGAGCTGCATGCTAAAGGCCGCTCGGCTGCGACCGCATGTTGCCGAGTGCTTCGACTACTTGGGTCGCTTGTATCCACTGGCCACTGGCGATATGGCCCGCGCCCGCAAATGCTATGAGAAGTGCATCAGCCTCAATGCCCTGGCGGAGGAGGCTGTGGATGCCTTGAGCTTTATTTACCAGCAGCTGGGCGAGGAAGATCTAAATGAGATGCTCCTGATGAACACCCTTCGGTACTTGAGTAATGACGAGTCGATCCGCTTGCAATACAAGCTGGGCCTGCACTTTCTGCAAGTGAGGAAATGGGATAATGTACGTAAATGAACAGCACAGACCACAGATCAGAGTTTAATTATGTTTAAGGCTTCCTTTTAGGCCATCCAATGCTTTCGGATTGCCATCAAGCACGACTTTCGGTGCATGGTCTATTGGGAATCACTGGGCGATGCTTATGCGGCTCGAGGCTCTTACAACTCGGCTATTCGTGTCTTTCAGAAAATCCTCGAGCTGTCCCCAGACAACTGCTATGCTCTCCTCCAGATAGGCGTGATCAAGACGGTAAGTATATGGCAACAATTTCAGGTTATGTTATGTTCTATTCATAATATATTGCCTCCAAGACGATTCGCATGTACTCGGAGGCGATTGAAGATTTCGATGCGCTGCTCAAGCTGAATCCAAACTATTTGCCTGGCTTGAGAGGCGCCGCAGAGGCGCACATCGGTATAGCCAACAATCTGAAGTCCCAAAATCTTTACGGCCGTGCCAAACAGCATTTCCAATCGGCTGTCGGACTTCTGGAAAGGTTAGGAAGCTTCCAATCATTAAGGCAGGCTTATTTGTATATGTCTCTTCCAGTGCATTCACCCAGGCAGAGGCGCAGGGTATGGTTTGGCTGTGGCGCCTCACGGCTAGTGTATTTTTGCAGACGGCCCAGCTGCCGGGCTCCCTGGCAAATTTGGACGTGGCTGGCAGTTTGGCCAAGCGCGATGAAGCGGTTGCTTATCTCTCACGTAAAGATCTGCTGCAACTGGCCCAGCGCTTCTATCTATGCGCCTTGAAATTGAAGCAGAACACATATCTGTGGTACGAGTTGGCCCTGGCCTGCTACTGCAGTGCTGTTTACATTCCCGAAGAAGCAACAAGCCACCTGGAAACGGCTTCCAAGGTATGCAAGAGGGCGATCAAGGAGCGTAGCAATCGCTGGCAGAACTGGAACCTCCTCGGCGTCATCAATATGCATGCGGAGCACGAGAACTTGCCTCTGGCGCAGCACTGCTTCATCCAGGCGCTGAATCTGGATCGCAAATCCTTCACGACATGGACCAACCTAGGCGTGTTGTATATCAAAGCGAATGACATTCGACTGGCCAATGAGGCCTTCAAGCGCGCCCAGCAATCGAGTCCGATATATGCCAATGCCTGGATAGGACAGGCAATGGTAGCGGAACTTATTGGCGACCAAGAAGAGGCCTTCGATCTGTTCCGCCATTGCCAGCAGTTTGATTATCATCCGGAGGCTGCTCTCGGATTCGCTTACTGGGTATGTGAGGTGCTCTCCGATCCTGTTGCCCGGGCCAAGCCCCACAACAGACATGCGATTGGGCACATGTATGCGGATGTCTACGCATTGGATGCCATTAACTGGTACGCTGCATTAATTTCATTGTTATTATCCTACAAAATCTATTCCCATTTTTGTACACAGGTATGTCCAAAATGAAGAGTCGGAGGCCAGTATAGCGTCACTCACGTTCCAGGGATTCTTGTGCGCCCGCAAAAAGCTTTACCACCAGGCCATCAAGGCTTTTACGCGCGCCAGCCAGTTGTGCGAGCCTGGAGCCGAACGAGACACACTGTATACGAACCTGGGATACTTGTACCTAAAGCTGGACCAGCCCCATCAGGCAGTCAACGCTTTGAATACAGTGTCCCATGCCACGTTCAAACCCATTGTTGGCTTGGCCCTGGCATATTACCGATCCGGTCAGCTGCAGGAATCGTATTCTATATACAATTCCGTACTAAACAACGTGGCGGGACAAAATGATGACAAGGCGGCTACCATATTAGTGGCCATGGCCTCTATGATTTATGCCTTCCAAGGCGAAGCGGACACCAAAACTCTTCTCTATCAGTGGTCTGTATCTATTATATATGCTTCATTGCGTCTTCCTAACAATTATGTTGTTTTTCCCAGTGTCCTGGCGAAGAATGCGCCCATCCAGGCCCTGTACTCTTCCTGTGCCTTGGCCATTCTGCATCGCGATAACGAACTAAACCGGACCGCAATGTCGGAGCTCAGGGCGTACGATTTTAGCGAAAAGTACTGCGTCGATATATCCTACCTAACCGCTAATTATTTCCTGATAAATGTGTGTATGCAAAACCAAGCAGTATTTACGTGGATAAATCTAAGCCCATGTACCTTTTCAGGAGGGTCGCCTAGATGCTCTCCGTTATTTGCAGAAGCGCGTTCGCATGTTTCCCCGCTCTGCGGGACTTCGCAAGGTGTTGCTCAAGTTTCTTCTTGATTATTTCGCCGGAGATCAGTCTTACCGACTGGCTACCTCGAATGTGGCCTTGGGAGCTCTAACGCTTGGTCACAGCAGCCTGCGAAATGGGTAATACACAATGGGTTTTCCTTTCCAATCTCTACTGACAAATGCATCAATTTATTTGCAGAACAAAGGCCAGTGAGGAGGCGGAAACGACAATCTATGCCAGTCGGGCTGTAATTCATGTCGACAAGGCACGTTCCTTGAAGCTTATCCAGCGCGCCATAAGACTGAATCCAACTAATCAGCAAGCCAGACAGTTGCTAGCCACCGTTTCTGCCCATTAAGGTGTTTATTTTGCCCAATTTTTGATGTCAAGAATAAAATTCATATGAATTGTGCATTAACTTTACTTACTTTTAAATACAAAAAAGAAAAGAATACAACATGCGCACATCATACATCATATTCAAAAATCCTTCGAGCCGGATTTGAACCAGCGACCTATGGATATCTTCGGTACGAAACTTTCTACAGTCCACCGCTCTACCAACTGAGCTATCGAAGGTGTTGGAAGGTGGACGGAAAATTGCCCATTGGAAGTTGGTGGGAATGATCACCTGGTATTATAATTTATTCGAATATTTTATTTTGTTGATTTCAAATAAAAACCTACAAATATTCAGTACAAATAGACAATATTGTGGATTTAATTGGCTTGCAAGATACAAAAATTTGTATGCCGCTGTTCTCTCTACAGGTATACCAGGGCTGCAAAATAAATGGTTTTGGCCAGTGTGACCAGTGGCTTCTGCAGCTTGTTTGCGGCCACACTGCGTCGGGGGTGAAGCAAATTCGGGTTCAAAAAGAAAATAAAAAGCGAAAATGTGGATGAAATAGTGAAAATGTGAATTAAACTATTGTGCACACGAACAGTGGTGATAATGTGTTGCGTTATTAGTTAGAAGGACTCCATTAAAACGCTTCGAAACGCCTCTAATGCGTACACATCGAACGGCGTCTGCCACCGACCCGACTCCGCCCTGCATACCTACATATGAAAAACCTGCTGCCGTCGGCCGTAATTACAGTTAGACACTAAAATAGCTGCACGGTCAGGTTGAGATAATTAAGGAACAAAGCGAGAGCGCAGCGACTGGACTGCATTGCCCACGCACGCGTTCCAATTGCAATGGAAAACGAATCCGTCAAGTCGGAACATAGTGGACGCTCAAGACGGTCGCGAAATCACAACAACAATAGTAGTAATAGCGGTGCTGGTAGTGGAGGCGGGGGTGGCGGCGGAGGAGGAGGAGGCGGAAGTGTGAACAACGGCTACCACAGGGAGCGAGATCGTTCTCGTCATTCCCATCGCAGCACGCATTCGTCCAAGTCGGGCAAGGGTTTCCAACGTGGCGATATGGCACCGTATCAGACCAGTGTTAACATGACCGGTAAGGAAGAGTGATATTTGAAATGAGATCCATTTAAGTTGATTCGTTTGATTCGTTCGATTCGTAGGTGACGAGAGTCGGGACGGCCAGGAAGTTATAGAAGTGCAGATTCTACCCCAGGATGAGAACTGGGGAGAGAATACCACGGCAGTCACTGGCAACACCTCCGAGCAGAGTATATCCATGGAGGACATTAACAATATGTGGCATCGTGAGAGCGACAAAGGATTTGGCTTCGCCTGCCGCCGCTATGTAGAGTCTAGCTTCTACTTTCTTCTTGGCTGCGGGGCGTTCTTCTCGCCGGTGGCCATGGTGGTCATGCCGCACGTTGGATTCTTCCCGTCGGCCTTTGATCGCCCGGAGCTCACACAGACGGTGCGCACCCAGGCGCACCTCCTGGCCTGCAGTGAGCAATGCAAAGGCCAGCTTGTGTCGCTGGCTGCTCGCTTGCTGCTCCTGGCCATCGGCCTGTGGGCGGTATTCATGCGGCGCACTTCAGCCACAATGCCGCGCATTTTTCTATATCGGGCAATTGTCCTCCTCCTGGTTACTATCTGCACATTCGCCTATTGGCTCTTTTACATCGTGCAGGTCACGAACGGCGCCAAGATTGTGGTGGAAACAGGCGGCGATGCTGTCGACTATAAGTCGCTGGTGGCCTACGCCACAAACTTTGTGGACACGCTGCTGTTCATCCACTACGTGGCCGTGGTCTTGCTGGAGCTGCGTCACCAGCAGCCCAGCTACTATGTCAAGATCATACGTTCTCCCGATGGAGTGTCGCGCTCGTATATGCTCGGCCAGCTAAGCATACAGAGGGCTGCCGTCTGGGTGCTCCAGCACTACTACGTCGACTTTCCCATCTTCAATCCGTATCTGGAGCGCATTCCCATTTCGATCTCCAAGTCGCAACGCAACAAAATATCGAACAGCTTCAAGTACTACGAGGTGGATGGTGTCAGCAACTCGCAGCAGCAGAGTCAGAGTCGAGCCGTTTTAGCCGCCAATGCCAGGCGGCGCGACTCCTCGCACAACGAACGTTTCTACGAGGAGCACGAGTACGAGCGACGGGTCAAGAAGCGTCGCGCTCGCCTCATCACCGCTGCCGAGGAGGCCTTCACCCACATCAAGCGCATACACAACGAGCCCGTCCCTGCCCTGCCGCTGGATCCACAGGAGGCTGCGTCGGCAGTCTTCCCATCAATGGCCCGAGCATTGCAGAAGTATTTACGAGTGACCCGACAACAGCCACGGCACACATTTGAGAGCATACTCAAGCATTTGGCCCACTGTCTGAAGCATGATCTGTCGCCCCGAGCCTTCCTGGAACCATATCTGACCGAGTCGCCGGTGATGCAGAGCGAGAAGGAGCGTCGTTGGGTTCAGTCGTGGTCCCTGATCTGCGATGAGATCGTCTCCCGGCCCATTGGCAACGAATGCACGTTCCAGTTGATACAAAACGATGTCTCCCTCATGGTCACCGTGCACAAGCTGCCGCATTTCAACCTGGCCGAGGAAGTGGTCGATCCAAAGAGCAACAAGTTTGTCCTCAAGCTCAACTCGGAGACCTCCGTATGACACCATCACAATGCACCGCCCATAATCACGCCCACGCACAGCAATCATACACAATCGTCCTACCTGCATGTGTTTGTCTGATGGCCTGTTGTGTCATAAAGATTTCCTCATTCCTGGATGGATTTCCAATGAATTATTGTATTTTATACGCCTATGTATATGTATATCTATATCATCGCAAGAATCAAGCCGAATTGGATCATCAAATAGATTAGCTAAGACCAGAATATCAATCCAATGCTCAAAGGCCCCAGTGTATCATCCTAGTAGACCGACACGAACACATATCACACGTATCGTATCCGTTTTAGCCCTCGAAACATGACTTCAAAGTTCCCAAAGTATTAATTATAAGAATGAAATGATGATGGTTCTTCAATGCAGCTCTTTTATACACGATTTTTATTTTAGGAAATATGTATATCTAGTGTAAATTGGGTTTGCACGTCTCAAATCGAATATCTGTTACGTTCAAACCCATCCGTAGCCTTAAGAATAAAAGAGATATTCCAGATGGAATTTTAGCCAAGACTTGGACTTGCGCCGACAGTGGTCCCACTCTAACCAATCCACTGTTTGCGCGACTCGCATGGATTTTAAAGACGCACATTTTAAGCCGAAACGACTAATCCGACTAATCCTAACTGTTCGAGTGCTATATGTACGTATATAGAACCGATAGAACAGACGACAAAGCAAACTGTAACTCGAATGCAACTGATGACAAATACATAATACTTTAAGCAAAGAGACTGCCTGATATGCATTTTATACACAGCAAAAACAAATAATTGCCAACATTAACTAATAGATACATGTACTGCAAGCCCTGTACTGTGCATAGCAACCACGCATACATACAGAATCGTGTGTATTTTTAGAAGCAAAATTATAGTGATAAGAACTTGTATTCGTATTCGAACATATACATATGTACGTTCCAGTGAACAAACCAATCATTATATTTACAAAAACTACTTAGATAACACACTTTCGCTTAAGATACATATAGTACATATATGATTTTTGTTTCTTTTTCTAGCTAAATGCCTATTATCAAAGCACATTTTTTTGCATTGCAATTTCTATGGCAATTACTTAAAGCAATTGGAAAACCAATAAACATATATATATGGGTACACCATCTCTTTATATAGTACATTTATAATATATTAACAGCTCTCTCAAACTGTATTCTGTTGTAAGTGTAATTAGCTTATGGAACCCAACTCAACCCAACCCAATTCCCATTCCCATGACGCATAAATAAAACAGAAAACAACTTTTTTAACAGCTTTAAACGAATCAGTTGCCAGATGCTGGAACTAATTTATTCATTGATCCAGCAGCTGATTGGAAGAAACCCGATCATTTGGGGTCACTTAAAGGTCCTATGCATACTGGACAAGCTTGAAACTATATCTCTTCGTGGATTCAGATTCAGAAAACTCGGATTCATCAAAATAACACCAACATTTGTGCAAATGAATTGACTCCTCGATCATTGCAGTTGCAATGCAGCTGGCGGATACATATTTCCTATAGGCAACGAGCAAACCAAACAAAAGAAATCCAAGAAACGACGGTCTCTGATTTCGGAGCTTATCAATCAGTTCCTGCAATCGATTTTGTTTAGATTTTCCGTATCGTTGGCACTCAAGTTTCGAAGATTAAAATATCAAGTTCAATTAATTCAAGTGCGGGTTGACGAACCATCCCACCGCCCCAGCCCCCATCATTCTCACATTACTCGTACTTCTGTGGAACTCTTTGGGAAACAAGAATCCATTAAGCGTTCGCCTTTATCTATATCAGTGTGGACAGTGATGAGTATTATGCATGTACATATATAAGAGCTGATCACCAAGACATCAATTATTATTGAACTACCAGTAACTTTTCATTTATAATGGATCTGTTTTTCACGACCTAATAGGTGCGGTGGGCAGTATTTTTTCCCATATCAGCGAAACTCGAGTTGAACATCAAAGTGGTCGCGTTCTGCTGACAACGTAGTAACATAGTAATATTCTCGGGCACTCTCTTTTACAGCATTCGCTTGTGCGTCTCGAATCTGTTCGAGCACCAATATGCTGATTGATCACTAGCAATACTGAAAGACTGATCTTAAGTACACGTTTCGTTGGTGTCGCTTGCTTGCTGTCGCTGCCTGAACTTTATTTGTTTCATAAATATATTGCCCTAATATTAATATAAGTACATAAACTACATATGGTATATCATTTATTGGCTAATAGTCAACGAACAGCTCTCACTGCAGTTGTTTTTTGGCTTGTGCATATCAGTTATCAAATGTTGGTTAATTATTGCCAGGTCGTCAGGTCGTCGCATGTGCCTACGTTCGAGAACGATTATCGATTTATTTACTTAGAGGGATAGCGCCCCAATTTGTCCTTAGTCCTTCTTACGCTCCAGGTTGTTCTTAGCTGGCTGGTAGAATTCATCGACAATGGCCTCGACCATGGTATTGAGAGTGTTGGTCAGCTTCAGCCAGTTCTTTTCCTCGGGCTTGCCGACTATCTCGGCATAGTACTTCATCTTGGGCTCTGTGCCACTGGTGCGTAGAGTCACCACTACGCCGTTCTTAAAGGTAAACGTGATCATCTGGGAACTGGAGCTGGTCGGAAGAGTGGCCTTTTTGTCGCTGGTGCTGCTGTCGTAGCCAGTGGTGAGGTCACGGACGTGAGCTATCTCGTAGGTGCCATTCAAGATGCTTGTGGGATAGGTGTCGGGCTTATCGTCGTCAAAGGTGCGCAAGCGCTGGAAGATGCGCGCTATAACCGACGGACACCGGCAGATGACATACGAGCATACGCTCTCGTGGAAGCCGTAAGTCTCGTAGATTTCGCGCAGCTTCTCCTGCAAAGTCATGCACTGTGTTCTGCGAAGGTAGCAGGCCATGGTTGCCACGTGAGCTGCGGCACTGACTCCATCCTTGTCCAGCACGGCGGTGCCCACCATGAAGCCAATCGCCTCCTCGAAAGCAAACAACACGGTGTTCCCAGCCTGCTGCAGTTCGATGGCCTTGTTGCCCATCCACTTGAATCCCGTCAGAGTTTCGTAGAACTGAAAGCCCTCCTCCTTGGCCATGCTGCCAAGAATTTTCGAACTTACCGTGCTGGCGATCATCGCGCATTTAGACACATCCGCATCGGGGTTGCGCGACTTGTAGTTCTGCAGGCTCCACCAGCCCAGCAGGGCGCCCAACTTGTTGCCGGTGAAGAGCGTGTAGTTTCCGTTTTCGCCAATCTCAGCTACGGCAAGGCGATCGGCGTCGGGATCGTTAGCCAGAATGATTTCAGACTTGTTCTGCTTGGCCGTCTTTATGGACAGCTGCAAAGAAGTCTTGCCCTCCTCCGGATTGGGCATGGGGGTGGTTGGGAAATCTGGATCTGCTTCGACCTGCTCGACCACGGGAATGAACGGCTTGAGGCGGACTTTCTCGAACGCCTGCTTAACGTAGGGATATCCCACACCATGCATGGCAGTGTACGTGAAGGATATCTGGCACGTTCCATTCATCTCCAATAGCTGACAAGAGAAACTCCTTTTTATGGCATCGTAATAGAAGGGCACGACGGCATCGTAGGGATCATCCAAGAAATCAGAGCAGCACAAGGCCGTCTCATCCCAGGATTCGGGCTTGGGTTCAAGATTATCCATTATCGACTGCTGAATACCAGCATCGTGCGGCGGAATTATCTGGGCTCCGTTGGTCCAATACACCTTATAGCCATTGTCCTCCTTGGGATTGTGCGAGGCGGTCACCATCACGCCGGCCAGACACCCAAGTCTCAGAATCGTATAGGGAACAAATGGAGTGGCCACCAAACGCTGGAAAAGATAAACGCGAAAGTCGTTGTTCAGAAAGACAACGGCCGACAGCTCCGCAAAGCGCTGGCTGTTATAGCGTCCATCGTAGCCAAAGACAACGCCCTTCTCTTTCCAATCCTCGGAATTCGGATACTGAGCCTTAATGTACTGGCACAATCCTTGGGCGGCTCTGTAAGAATTCCGATTTCGTTGAATAGTGAGCCATTTGCAATGTCTGTGTGTTTGATTATGACTTACTGAATAACCACCAGCTCATTCATCGAATCGAAGCCGGCGCGCATGCAGGCCCGCAATCCTGCCGTGCCGAAGGTTATGCGGTTGCACAGTCTCTTCCGCAGCCTGGTCAATGCATGTTTATACATATACATGCTGTATACTTGTAAATTTTTAGAGATCTGCTTACGTTTCCCAGTCCTGGTCCTTTACGGCGTCCATGATCTGGCAGGAGGTGCTTGGGCACCGGTCCCATCGTATCCATTTGCGGATCTGGTCATCCAGTTCTTTATCCCCAGACAGAGTCATACTCTTCAGCTGGCATATCATTTGCGATGTTGGCTGACACATGGTGAAAACGACGCCACAGGCGAGATTTGCCTAATTTCTGAGTTGATCAATTAAATTTGGAAGGAATGCTAACGAAAAAGGGAAAGGCCGAGAAATTCCTATATTGACAATAATTTCGCCACACGGAAACGATTATGAGTATACGGAACTACTGATTAAACACTAGCAACTAGCTTCGTCGATGGGCCGGGCACTTTTAATTGATAAGGCTCTGCGGGGGTCGCTGGAGCGACCTTTATTTCACACGAATATACCCGGTTATTCATATGTATGGTATTATTGAAGAATACGGTCACATAACTAAATCGAGTAATATGGTTCCAGTCCTTACCGCAGAACGATTAACCCATTGTAGACCAATAATAATATTAATATATAATATTTCACCGAAAATATTGAAAATTGAATCATTTTATTGCGGTTGAGGTGAAAGAAAGTAGTCTTTTTAAGTAAATATGATGAATCTACGATAATAACTTACAAACACTTGTATTTTCCGCCATGATCTCAACGCGTTGAACTATTTAAATAGGGGGCTTAAGTGGGCTAAGTTCGTTTTGGTCATCGTATATTTTTCGCCGACGCTGCGAAAAAAAAAAAAAACAAATTTGATTCTATCCCACTTGTATTATTAACTTAAAATGGCTGATGTACTGGACATTGACAACGCCGAGGAGTTTGAGGTCGACGAGGACGGCGACCGTGAGTACGCACCAGGTTTTTTGTGGCCGGCCGGTCTCATGGCTTTCTTTTTCTTCTCCCACGCTGACACCCTGCACGGAACTGCTCACAGAGGGCATAGTGCGCTTGAAGGAAAAGGCCAAGCACCGAAAAGGACGCGGTTTTGGGAATGACAGCAGTATCCGCGAGGCTATACACAGCTATGAAAGGGTACGAAACGAGGACGACGACGAGCTCGAACCGGGTCCCCAGCGCTCTGTCGAGGGATGGATACTGTTTGTGACGTCCATACACGAGGAGGCCCAGGAAGACGAAATTCAGGAGAAGTTCTGCGACTACGGTGAGATAAAGAATATACATTTGAATCTGGATCGTCGAACCGGCTTCTCCAAAGGCTACGCTCTCGTTGAGTACGAGACCCACAAGCAGGCGCTAGCCGCTAAAGAGGCTCTTAATGGTGCCGAAATCATGGGACAGACTATCCAAGTGGACTGGTGCTTTGTGAAGGGACCTAAGCGTGTGAAAAAGTCCGAGAAGCGTCGCAGATAGGCGGGCGGTCAACGAAGACTGAACTTCCAGCCAAACGAATACATTTTCAATTAGTTTAATGCTTAGGCGGCAACAGTATAACGTCTACACTCAAATGAAATAAAGAAAGTTGACACTTAACATAAAATCCGAATTACGAATGGTATCTCTTATAATTGTAATATGTATATTGTGGCTCGTCTGTTACCAATCTAACAAGTTAAACATGTCAATGCAAAGCGATTATTTCATTTTCTTCTGGTGCAGCAGATGCTTCCGTAGGGACAGTTGCTTGTCCCGGAAACTCTTCTTCACCTTGGAGCGCGCCTTGTGCCGCATCATGCCAAAGTTCTTGGTCTTGCGTTTCTCGCTGTTCGTTTTGGAGCAGTGTTCGTTGACACGTCCATCCTTCCAGCCGAACCGTTCGCGATCCTGTCGGCCTGCCTGCACAGTTTCCATTCGCGACTCCTTGTCGTGTTTGCGCTTCTTGAAGATCATCTCGATGCTGTTCAGCTTAACGAATTCGGCCCGATCCTGCTCTAGCGGACGTTTGCGGGAATTCGTGACGGTCTTTTTCAGATTGGCAGCATTGATTCGCTTGAAATCTTCGTCCGTGAAGATGCGTGTCAGCGCCAGTTCTTGGGCAGCCTCCTTTTGGTTGAGAATTTTCAGATCTTTCTTCTCCTTTTTCTGTTTAGATGCCTCTTCGTCATTTGCTGCATCACCATCGTCCTTTGCGTTGGATTCATCCTCCTCCTCCTCTTCTTCTTCATCGCTGTTGTCTTCATCGTCTTCCTCTTCATTATCATCATCATCCTCTTCCTCCTCTTCGTCATCGTCTGCTCCATCTGCTCCTTCCCCATCGCTGTGGTTCACTGTCACCCACTGACCATCATTGGAGTCGCTATCTTCATCGCTCTCAATGTCAATGGTCTTGGAGTCCTTGAGGAGCGCCTCGGCGCCGAGAACAGTGTCGTGAACCTCGCGCTCTCCATAGGCGCGAACCTTCCGCTCCGCCTGTGCCTCTGTCTGCCGTCCTCGATCCTTTTTATGTAGCAGAGCCGGCAACTGTTCGCGGTAGAGTGTGATTAGCGAACGAGCCGCCATCATCACAGATTTCTCCTTGTACGTCTTGTACATGGCCAGGTCCTGCAGCAGATCCTCGCCCATGGCCAGGGGGCAACGCATACAAATCTCGCGCGTGGCATTCAAGCCGATGGCCATGACATCGCTGGAGTTGCGCTCTGTAATGAAATTGTTGGCTATTGTCTTCAGGATGGGCTCAATGATGTCGCCCGGAACCAGCTCATGGGACGCCTGGGCGGCAAACTGGAGCACGCGGGTCACCTGGCGCTGATGGGGCTGAAGAAAGCGAGTTATATACGGATAATAGCCAAACAGGAATAGCTCGTGAATGCCGATCAGACGGGATATTACATCGAGGTGCATCAACTTCACTTCGAATCGCTCGTTTGTGGCCTGCAACTGCTTGAAGAGGCCTTCGGCCATTCCCTGGGGATTGTGCACCAAGTGAATGCCAGAGAAATTAAAGGCTGGCGCATTCTTTTTCTTCTTCTGGGCCTTGACCGCCTGCTTTTTGATCTTTTGCAGTTGCTTTTGGCCCTTTTTGGTCTTTTTGCTGACCCGATTTGCCAGCAGCGCACCCTTCAGATCCACCTCGTTTTCACTTTCGGTGTCCTCTTCTTCGTCCTCGTCGTCGTGGCCGAGGAAGAATTTCAGCGACGTGACAAGGACCTTGGTTACCTTGGAGAAGCAACCCACTGTGGCAATGACATTCACCGATTTTGGATCATTCCAGATGTTCTTCTTGTACAGCTCGATCATTATATCCACAGACATCTTGGCGGCTTTGGGATTGGCGTCTTTCAGCATGGAGTACATAAAGTTTTGCAGGCTCTGCAATGTATTTGATTAGATTTGATTCAATTGATTGGTAAAAGGGTCAGTGGTCAGGCCAGCAACAAGTGCCTGAAAATGGTTGTTACCGAGTTGAGCTTCATATCCTTGTGCTTGGCATTCATATTCTTGATGTCCGTCACAATGTGGGCCTGCAGAAAGGTCCGTAGATTCTTGTCGGGGCAGCGCAACAGCTGGAAAAACAGTTCCAATATGTCTAGTGCTGGGACTAAGTTCTTGTTGCGCAGTAGAATCAGCGCCTTCACAAAGCAATTTCTCATGGCTGGATCCAAGACGGTGGCATAATTCCTGAGCAGATCGGCTAGGTGCTTCGGGAACAGCTCACAGGCAGCAGGATAGCACTGAGCCACTTGGGCTATAAACATGACAGTGTCATCCAAAGATTTGTTTTCCTCGCTGGGGTTCAAGGCGAACACTTCCAGCAGACTCAGAAAGTGCTGGTACTGAATGTGAAACTCATCGCTGTACGACTCCGGATCGCGCTTGATCAGGTTCTGTAACTGCGGAAGATTCTCCGGCAGTTGATTGTTGTTGGGCCGCACCATGGTGAGCCGAAGAAATTGCGATTTTGGCAAAAACCGAAACGTTCAAGTTTTTACTCTCGTTGCACGTGTTGGGGGTGTTCGTAAACGAACTGAATAATTTTACCTTAACCCATCTCAACCCCAATTAAAAAATGCATATTGCAAGGTGTGTGACCTAGAGAGGGAACAAAACCTAAGTTTTCGTAGATACAACAGCTGTGCATTTCAACGTAAACCAACACAGCCAGCAACTACCGTCAAAAAATTAATTTTCTCTCTCTCTGCCCTCTTCTGCAAAATGATGGAGCTGCAGCTAAATGACGTTGATTTAGAGGAAGGCGAGGTAAGTAAAACTGTTTTCACGGCCATGGGGCGATGCTAGTTAGTCCAGTTCACTCCTTAGCTATCAGAAAGCGACGACGACGGAATTTACACACCGCTGCAGCGACCTGCACCCACTCCCGCACCCGCACCGGGTACAAGTGCCGAGAGTGTTGCAAGCCCTCACACTACTTGCCACCAAACCCAAACCGCTGCTCTTGATGATGATGAGTCCCAGACAAACAGTGACTCGTCATCGGGCGAGTCCTCGGAGGAGGGATGCATAAAGAAGCTTCGTACAGATGATCCCGACAGCGGCCACAAGAAGCGAAAGAAACGAATCAAGCGCACGGTTATGAGGCGCGTTGCCCCCACAGACACAGAGATGTTGCCAAATCGGACCCGCTTCAAGAAGTACAATGTATGGACAGCCGCACTTCAGGAAGATGCTCTCAGCGAGAATATGCGTGGATGTGATGTTACTCGCAGTAGGCGCGATCGAAATGTGGAGAACTATGACTTCTCGTTAAGGTACCGGCTGAACGGCGAAAACCGACTGAAACGTCGGCTATCCAATTCATCCGAGGATGAGGCGGCGTCACATCCAACGCACAAGCGAGGTCGGCCATCTAGCCGCCCCACAGAAGAAGAGTTTTCTCAGCGAGGATCGGTCAAGAGTCGCCTCGGCCATCGAACGCGGCGCGGCGCCTCATCGACCAGTGGCTCGTCTGACAATTCGTGCGAGCCTCGACATATTCTCGACCTAAACGATATAGCTGGACGCGATCCATCCGATTTGGCAACAGAGATGGCCAGTAAACTGTACGAAGAAAAGGACGAATTGCTAAGTGAGTAGTTGAAAATATAGACGCTACTGAAAATAATGCAAATATTCATACTCCTAGTCCGTGTTGTGGCAGTTCTGGGAATGGATTTGCCCCTAGAGCTGTACAAAGAAACCCAGCGGATCGAAGCGGATGGCGGCATGATGATCAAAGTAAGTAGTTAAAAAAAAAGCGATTCCTGCTGATGACTAATGATGGCATTACAGAATGGCAGGCGAAGACGTACACCAGGAGGTGTATTTTTATTTTTACTAAAGCACCATGACAATATTACGCCAGAGCAACAAAAGTCCATATTCGATGAAGATCGCCAGAATATGAACAAGTCTCGCAAGCAGATCGAAACGCTGATGCGTAACCGAAAAGTAGAGGAGCTAAAGAAGTGCTTGAGCAAACAAAGCACCGAATTGGCTTCGTTATGCCAGCGCAAAGAGCATTATATGCAAGCAGACGAGCTGAGCGCGGAGAGTCAACCTGGCAATGGTGAGAAGAGTACGACTAATATCTAAAGATATTTAACTAAAGTCTAAATGTTTCTCCCGAACAGTGTCAAACCCTCCGCCGTCGCCAGTGGGCCATGAGCAGGAGAGCCCAGAATATAAGACACACGAAATAAACATAAATCACGTGGATAATGCTGAACTACCATCTACATCGAAGGCGGCCGCTTTGGCGTCATCAGTGGGCCTTAAGGAGCTGGTTAGCTATGACGACGATTTTTTGGATGTAAACTGTGGAGAAATGGACTTCTTCTAGGCTAACGCAAAGCGTTTACGTGAAGTCGGACCCAATTATTTGGGCCCATTTTGTACTAAATTTATATAGTTAGACCCTCATTTGTACATTTAAATAAATGCCTCGGATCAAACAAATCAAACTCCACTTTGGCGCGGAGGTCTGGCGACGATCGTGACGATAGTATCGAATGCCTATCATCAGTCGAATAAAATTATGAGTGCAGTGCTGAGGTTCCTAAATTGAACCGAATATCAAAAGGGAGGATATTATTTCCGATTATGGGCAGAGAACGATTAGCCCATTGTCGACGAAAATAATGAATCTTGAAGAATTTTCGTGGTCATTTTGTTTGTGGGGAAAGAGGAATTACCTGTTTAAGTGGTCAATGTCGTTTTTTCATCTTTATATTTGTGGTATATTTTAAAAATAAGAGGGCTATTTTATCCGCTGTCGCACTGATTTAGACACCTCGTCTAGCTCACACATCTTGCATATTCTTTGACTTTGATCTTATTTTCGAGTATTTTCCATTATTTCTTGTAAACGATTTCAGCAATTAGATAAAATCATTTGTTCAGAGCTGAGGATCCTAGCTAGCAAGGAATATCAACAACGAGGATTATGTTGGAATTTGAATACAAATAATCAGTACAAATACAATAATTGAAAGTAAGTTTTGAAACTGTGACGTTTTTGGTATATTTTTGAGGGTCGGACCGCGACAAATCCGCGGTCACACTGGTCGCGACGACGCCGCTTAAAACTTTGATGTAGCATTGTTGTTAATTAATTAATTAATAAATTAATGGTATAGTGTTTACATTTATGTGTTGTGCGTGTCCTAGACTAATGCTCTTGAGCTTGCAACTGTTTTGTTGACAACGTAGTCTGATCGAGGGACAAAAATAATAGTAATGCGAAAGACCCGCTCGCAGACTCGCACGCAGGCGGAAAATGCCGCAACATCCCCAGCGACCGGACACCAATCCTCGTCGACTGCACCAACAACAATAAACGCCTTTGATGCGGGCAAATACAAGGTTAGTTTTCCCCGAAAGTTTAATTCACCAGATTCCCCAAAACAATTTTCAATAAATATGGATGATTGATAAGCAGAGTGACCACAAGCCAATAATATCGTGGCGCCACCTGGCGCAGGAAAACGTAAACCGTTTCAGTGGATTACGAATTTTTTAACACTGCCATCCGCCATATTATTTCAGACCGTGCGGACAAAACAAAATTGCTGTGACAAAAGAATTCTGTGCGGGTGTTTGTATTAGCGAGTAACAGAAAAGAGCAAATATCTTGACAAGTGTAGTTTGCAAGAACGGGTCCGTCTGACGGCAACTAATTATAGGAGTTGCTCGGTTTAGTGAAATGAAGCGCTTTCTATGAACGCCATTTTTGCCCAGCAAGGTAATGTGTTTGTCGGGGACATGCCACAATTTTTCCCATGTACATAGTGGCTGACAACGCATACCTGTGTCTGTACGGCTGACAAAAAAGACGTTTGAATCTGAGGATTCGAGGAAATATGAAGACCAAACACTAAAGACCAAGAAGCCAATTAAATATACGAGACGACCATGCCGGACGCCCTTTCAACCACACACACACACACACACGAAAGCGAACAAACGTCTATGTACATAAATGCTCATACATACATCGGATATACATACATATATATACTAAAGAGTGTGCGTGTGTGGGTGTGAGTGCGCTTGGTGTGTAGAGTGGAGTCGCGCATTTTTGCAACCGCCATTTGATCAAATTTGATATATTTTGCATTATCTTTGCAGGAATGTGAGCAAATGGTGCAGATGCTCCGAGTCGTAGAGCTGCAAAAAGTCTTGTCGTTCCTTAACATTTCCTTCGCTGGACGAAAATCCGATCTGCAAAGCAGAATTTTGTCATTTCTGCGCACCAATTTGGAGCTGTTGGCCCCAAAGATTCAAGAAGTTTACGCTCAATCCGTGCAAGAGCAAAACGCCACGCTGCAATACATAGATCCAACGAGAATGTACTCGCACATGCAGATGCCCCCTTCGGTGCAGCCGAATTCTGTGGGTCTGGTGGGTGGCGGATCAGGGCAGGTGCCGGGTGCACAGATGGCCGCACAGATGGCCTCACAGATGCCAACCAATGTATTGCCCTTTCTGCATACGCACAGCAACCAGCTACCCATACACCCGGATGTGAGACTGAAAAAGCTTGCCTTCTACGATGTGCTCGGCACACTGATCAAGCCATCGACGCTGGTGCCCCGCAGCACACAGCGCGTCCAAGAGGTGCCTTTCTACTTCACATTAACGCCCCAGCAGGCCACCGAAATCGCCTCGAATCGCGACATTCGCAACAGTTCGAAGGTGGAGCATGCCATTCAAGTTCAGCTGCGCTTCTGCCTGGTGGAGACTTCATGCGACCAAGAGGACTGCTTCCCCCCCAATGTGAATGTCAAAGTGAACAACAAATTGTGTCAGCTGCCTGTAAGTGTGGATTGGATCATTGCGACCCAAGTTACTACCCAATTGCACAATTCTAATGCCATGTGATCTGATCCAATTCTGATACACAGAATGTCATTCCAACAAATCGACCAAATGTGGAGCCGAAACGTCCGCCACGACCCGTGAACGTTACCTCCAATGTGAAGCTATCGCCAACCGTTACCAACACCATAATGGTTCAGTGGTGTCCCGACTACACGCGCAGCTACTGCCTGGCGGTTTATCTGGTGAAGAAACTCACATCCGCACAGCTGCTGGTGCGGATGAAGAGTAAGGGCGTGAAGCCGGCAGATTACACTCGAGGCCTAAGTAAGCATACATACATCACATTTTGGATAGCCTGGATAATCCTGAATACATTATTAATTAACCACAATCTTCGTTTCGTTTCAGTTAAGGAAAAGTTAACAGAAGATGCCGACTGTGAAATAGCCACCACAATGCTGAAGGTATCGCTCAACTGCCCGCTGGGAAAGATGAAGATGCTGTTGCCGTGCCGAGCTTCGACGTGTTCGCACTTGCAGTGCTTCGACGCCAATCTCTACCTGCAAATGAACGAGCGCAAGCCCACCTGGAACTGCCCGGTGTGCGATAAGCCGGCCATATATGATAACTTGGTTATCGATGGGTATGTCCATGGATGGATATCCAATCTTCAATATACGAAATAAAAGTTACTGATCAAATATTAATTTTTGGATACTCCCAACAGTTATTTCCAGGAGGTGCTGGACTCAACGCTGCTAAAGAGCGACGACACCGAAATTCAACTGCATCAAGATGGCTCCTGGAGTACCCCGGGCCTACGTAGCGAAGCTCAAATCTTGGATACACCCTCCAAACCCGTTCAAAAGGTTGAGGTGATATCTGATGATATAGGTAAGAGAAAACTGAGATTCTAATTACCTGACCTTGTCTGATCTTAACCATTCCCCTCTCCTGACCTCATCTTTTAGAGCTGATCGCGGACGATACCAAGCCAGTGAAGAGTGATTTGTCCCCGGCACCGGATGACCAGCCAACGTCAACGTCGAACAGTGAAACTGTAAGTTTATCTACCACTCTGCTGAGTCTCTGTTGTAATATACGTTTGCTTTCTGATCTGCTCTGACAGGTTGATCTGACGTTAAGCGATTCCGACGACGACATGCCTCTGGCCAAGCGTCGTCCACCTGCAAAGCAAGCCGCCGCTAGTTCCACTGCCAATGGTAATGGTAATGGTGGTGGCGGCCAACGTGCCTATACCCCGGCACAGCAGGCCCAACAATCTGGTATGTTGGATCCATTTTTGCAATAAGCGCAATAAGAAAACCAATAATCATGTATAGCCACGAATTCTTTATATATATATTTATAAAGTGCTGTTGTTAGAGTATAGCCACAATAGATATAAGGATCCATTTACACCACACCACCCCCCCACCCACTCGCACACAGCCCCTAAGTCACACAGTCACACATCCATCCACATAGAACATTTAATCGAATCGTAGGAATCCCTTGTATCTTGCTAGGAAATTTGTAATTCAACTGACAGAAGACAGACCCTTCTCTAGAGACTAAGAGAGAGCTCTAAGAAACAACTTTGAAATCTCTCGAATTAGTACAGCCTTTAAACCCGATTTAAAGACATTTTTTGGGGTCAACTTTTTCGTCCAACATTTGTTAAGTAGGCTGTGAGTTTCCCCTGTTCTATGAGCTTACTTATCCCTTGTGTTTCGCTTCAGTTTGTGACAGGCAAACAAAGGAGTTTTTTCTTTTAATTTTAAAGACTCAAAATTCTAAGCCATGGACAAACATCAAGTGGAAAACTAGTGCATTGTTGGCGTCGGTGCGATTATGCACTCGGGCAATCTGATCACCATTTCGGCCCTCAATAACAAAGCCATGGTGCTCGTGCCAAACGCGGCTTCCCTGCTGATGGCCGTGCCCTTGCTAACATGGCTGGAGCTGATGCTGGTCCAGATCTGGGTGTCGATGCTCATCGTGCTGAACATTGTGTGCGGTTCATCACGCACTCCTGATGGCCAACAACGAATACCTAGTGGACCATACCCCAGATTTCGCACACTAGCTGTATCAGTGGGCAAAATCTGGGGTATGGTCAAATCTGTCCATGGACGGATGTCCAGAAATAGTAGAAGATTTAAACTGCTAAGAGATGTGACGCCAACATGACGAAATGCTTACATTTTTGGTGTCTTCATATTTTTGTTTTTTTTTTTATTTTATTTGATTTTAATATATTGTAGTTGCTGGAAGTTCGGGTTCGTCTCTATATAAACGTGTCAATTTACAGGAATGGTTGCGCTCACGGTAGGTTCAGGCTCAGCTTCAGCTTCCGTTTAGGCGATCGCATGACTGTGATTTCATTTCATTATAATCAAGTCAAGCATGTGCGTCGCATAAACGTGAGAGTCACGTCGCGTCACGTCAGGTCAGGTCTGCGAAATGAATCTTTTTCTGTGCACTCACTCTCTTGCAGTAAACGTAATCTGAGGTCAGTCGGCGGCAAGGATGGTGCTTCCGGTTTGAGGCATCCAAACGTGGGTTGATGAGCTAGAGTCCATATATATTCGATTAATTTAGTCACTTTCTGTTCTTTTACTATGTATTGTACGTTATTTATTGTCACTCGCCGAAAGTAATTTATACAATTTATACCCCCACCCCCATCGACATCAAATAAAATTGTATTTATCTTAGCAGATCCGACCGTCAGGGTTAGTTGAGGGTTTTATTTTGTGTCGATCCTTTTTTGGTTTTGTTTTGTCAAATTGTTGTTGATATGATGATTATGTAATTGTACTAATCGAAGTAACTGTGCATTTCTTGTCTTTTCTTCTCTCTTTCTCTCTCTTCTTTCTCCACTCCGCTGCTCTCTCATTTCGGGTATCGTTTGCCTACCTATGCACATATATGCGGCTGCCGATGCGTAGAATCCCCAGACCAGCAGCAAATAATGGCACATCAGTCGTCTGAGTCGCAGCAAATGTTAGATCTAGAACAGCAACTGCAGCTGCAACTGCACCATCAACAGCAGCAACATCAGCAGCACGAGCAGCCAGCATCAGCAGTGCATGCCACTCTACTGGAATCCCTGGCTGCTGCGGTGGCGGATCAAAAGCACTTTCAACTGTTGGATCTGGCTGCAGTTGCGGCTGCTGCTGCTGCCACAGCGTCAGCGTCGTCCGGGCAAAGCCAAAATGGTGGTCCATAGAAACGCAGACATACATACACACACACACACACACTCACTCATTCATTTTGACACGCCCTCACACACACACATACGAATTTTGATTTTCGACTATTATTTGCAGTTATTACAGTTGGTTCGATTTGCTCTTTTCTTTTTCCGTTGACTTCCTCCACTCTCACTATTCTTTATCTCATTTGGCGACAACTTAAAGTATTTTTTTATTTACCTCAGAGGCTATTTTTCGACAAATCGTTGACACCGAATTCATGGCATATCGATTGAGATTTAATTTTTGTGTGTGTTGCGTGAGTTGTATAAAACAATCCTGTTCATGTTCCGTTTTTCGTTGTTTCTGCGTCAGGTGTGGTTGTGGTTGTCTCGTCTGCACTTTTTAATCATCCCATCCCCCGGGGTTCTCAACTGCATCCCTCTAGAAATTATAGTAAAATAGGCATCGTAATTTATTTATTTTTCCCTTTTGAATCGACCGACCGATCGCTAAATGTAATAGCCCTACGCACCACTACCATTAATAAATACATAAATCAAATGTTAATATTTAAGTCCTACCAATGCAATGTGGACGTATGTATGTATTCCTATGCACTAACCGAAAGCAGAAATTTAAGTTAGTTAAGTTTATTATTTTAGCTATAATATGAACAGAGTGTCGAGTCGACGAATGCTAATGCGCCCCCTAAGTGCGTTTGGTTCGGTTCTTTTATTATGTTCGCAAATCAGTGCAGCAGCAGAGCGAAGTTGAATTAAATTATTTTATATATTTACGTACATTAGCAGCAGCAGCATCTGATTATATTCTGTTTGTCGCAGAGGACCATCTCATCCATATCTACTAAACAAAACAGTTCGGTCTAAGTAGGAATTCAAATTAACAATAACAATAAATAAGTGTATCACAAATCACTGGCCTAACCCTATTAATGATGTGTGTTGCCCTTTATTTAAGCCTTTAGTTGTAATGAATCCCAATTTAGTATAAAAATTGCTTTGATTTTGATTGGATGCCAAACAAACACCCGCCCTACCCCAGGTTTTGATCTTAATTATCTGAACGAACAAACATCATGAAATCAATGTACAATAAGATGTGTACTTTAACTATATTATTAAAAACAAATTCCAAACAAGGCCATGTTGTTTTATTTGCACGAGGGGCGGTCCGGTTCATTTACGAGTAAATATATGCCTTATTTTAAGCGGAGGAAGCGACATTTTGTTTTATTAGTTTTTATTGAACTTATAATTTGGAATCATCTTGTTTTTTATTGAGCACATCCGAAACTTTTTCTTTACTTGCAGAGGATAAAAGCGGATTGGTTGCGGTCAAGAGCAAAGAGGATTCTGTTATTGATCTTTTAGATTCGCCCTAACATTAGCACAGCGTGCGCCGCCCGTTTGTAAGATTCCTATATCCATTGTTCGTTGTTAAGAGACCCCAAAGAATTTATAATTGCCCTATTATATATGTATATGTACCTATACATTGGGTCTGAAATTCCGTGAAGTACAATTTCGTAAGAGTATTCATTAAGATAAAAACCAACTCCCAAATAAATAGCTAGACGTAATAAATGCAAAAATAAAAGTTGATATCGCATCCTCTGTTTTACCTATAGCTTGGTAGTTTTGAAATTGCCGCTCGAACAGCTGTTTTTCAGAGTTGCCACCCCAACTCAATTCTCGCACCTACAGGTTCTCAGGTCTGTACCTGTTGTTGTAACCCTGTAAACGCGTTTTGACGGCGTGGGGTAAACATTCTTGCACTTGGCTTCTGGGCGTCCAACTTCCTCGAAATGATTTCAAATTGCACTATACTTTCGAATTAGCGACATACCGAATTTTTAAAAGAGCTAAACAGCTTTGCCGGTAATACAAAAAGTGTGAAGTAAACGCAAATATGAGCAACAACTGTCTGAACGCAAAATGCCGTTTGAGGAGCAAAATTGCGCAAAAAGTCAGTAGAGAATGAACTAGCAAAAATGAACTGGTAAACAAAAAAGAGCAATTGAGCAATTATGAACTAGTGAACATAAAAGAACAAGTGAGCAAAAAATAACAGTTTGGAAGTATCAGTTACTCACTTAAGTAAACAACTAATTTTTGTTCGCTCAAAGCAACACAACAGTAGTGTTTTAGCATATTACAAAATGTCAAGGCCAACTCTGTACTACGCTCTGTTCAGCCCTCCAGCCAGAGCTTGCATAATTACTGCAAAGCTAATTGGCTTGGACCTGGAGCTCAAGTAAGTCGTCCCCGCACTTCATCGATATCTACAAAAATATGTAGGTTTTCTCTTTGAAAACAGGCCTGTGGATTTTTCCAAGAAAGAGCATTGCAGCGAGGAGTTTTTAAAGGTACTATATACACAAACTGGCTCTAGCTTTCCCCGTTTTTGAGCGGCTTTCACACTCCACACTCTTCCCGCAGCTCAATCCCCAGCATCAGATTCCGGTATTTGTGGACACCGACGGTGAGGTTTATGTAGACAGCCATGCCATTATATGCTTCATGGTGGGGAAATATGCCAAGGACGACCAGCTGTATCCGAAGGATCTAAAGAAACGGGCGCATGTCGATCATCGTTTGCACTACGAGAACGGTGTGCTATTCCAGGTTATCAAGGACATTGTGGCACGCAACATTTACGGCGGCGAGGCGGAGCTCAACCAGAGGTCACTGACTCTCTGCCACAATGCCTACGCAGACCTCGAGCACTTTCTGTTGAAGGGAAACTTTGCAGCAGGCAACGATCTGAGCTTAGCGGATGTTTCGATTCATACAACTCTCGTGACATTGGAATTGCTTATACCGCCTGATCCGGATCGTTATCCCCAGATTACTGCATGGCTCAAGCGCATGAACCTATTGATACCCGACAATGAGATGAATCTTAAAGGAGCAGAGGCTCTGAATGCACGGATAAGAAGCTGCATGGCCGAGAACAAGACAAAGTAAAACCTCCAAGAGGAATGGGGATGGGATCCAATCAAATAACTTGTTTGTTGTACATTGTTGAACTAGAATTTATTGTTGATACTATTATATTTTTATATTTTTAAATCCTTGCTACAATACAATAGTTTATGTCTGTCTTTTGATTTTTGGAAGTCAAATATACAATTCGTAGTTTTCGGAGAGTTTCCGTTTCATGCAACTTACTAAATACAATATGCCACGCCACTGAGCAATTATTTACACAAACTTATTTACTTTGATCTGATCTGAAAGAACGAACCGAACGGGCCACTGAAGATAGGATAGCTTGACTACAATACTTAATTCGAGTTAATTTGCTGTTGTCGGTCATCGGTCCCCAATTAATCGTGATCCCATCCTGACTTCCGCATATCTCTATCTATTTACAACACATTTGAATGAATCACACTTATTTTGGTATGTCTCTCTAGCGGGATGCGGATACCCTCTAGTCGAACGTCGTCCAGTTGTTCATGCCCTTCCCAGCCGCACTCCCTGCCGTTGTTATAGCCGGCTTTTGCTGTTGGTGCTGCTGCTTTTCCGCTGCCGTGGCATTCAACGTGAACTGATCCAGCCCGTATTTGCGCAGCAGCTCAAAGTCATCGTCCGGCCTGGCAGCAATGGTGCTGCGCTGGATTTGCGGCGGCAACGGTGGGGCTCGACCTCCGGTCACCGCGGCAACAGTAGCCATGTGCTTGGGGGCGAAATACGGATAGAGTGGGTTGCTGACGCTGTTGCCCGGCGCCGCTGTGGTTACCATGCTGCTGTTGACGCCCGCTGGAAGCGTACAGGATTTCTTACTGAAGACTTTGCTCAGCGGAGGAAGTGGCCGTGCATTCTGGTTTAACGGATCAAAGTCCTCCAGATCGAAGCTGGTGTTGTTGCTATCGTCCAGCGATATCAGATCGTTCATGCTGTCCTCCAGCGTCTGATGGTGCTGCTGCTGGGACTGCTGCGGGAAGGGAGGCACAGACAGGTTGGGGTTGGTTAAAATACGGTTAAAGCCAAGGGTGTGAAGATGTTTTCTATGTTTCGGTTTTAATTGGGCTTTCAACCACTTGAATACTACTTTCTACCAGTTACAAGCATCTACGATTAAATATATTATGCAGTGCAGTAGATTAGAAATAAGAATTAATAAGGATACGCAATAGAGAAGAACACATAGAACGCGTACATATCCCTAAAAGTTAAAAAAAAGACTGCAAAAGACAATACGGATTTACACAAAAAAGTCGAGAGGTTGTGATACCAATTCCGTTATATCTCGCTCACTCCGCCAGGGGGGCCACTAGACGAGGAACAGAGCAAGCGACCTCATGGCAGGGAGTCAACCACGGGAAATAGTTCTCTTCATGGCTATAGGAAATTTTTTGAAACATAATGGAATCAGTCTGATATCATAGGAGTCATTGTTGTCTCTAAGACAGGACGGACAGACGGACATATCGTAATATATACTTTATGGGAGGATTACCATCATTACTTTATAACTTGCTATGATTGTTAGTGGTGATCATGGATATACATACACATACTTCTCTTTTATGGAGTCTACTACTCTCTTTATGAGATTATTATTTCGTTAAATGATTATATGTAGTACTTTCAAATGAATTCTACTTTCTCTGGAGCAACAGATGAACGAAATTGAAACTGAAAGGAGTTAGCTACGTTGGCCAAATGAGGCATGTGAGGAGTAGGCCGAGGAGGAGTCAGTCTCTACATGAGGGGAGGGGGGCACGGCATGTGTGTGTTAGTGTGAGATGGTAGGGGGACCACAACCAGGATGGGCTTCTTAGTAAGTTAACGTCGCAGCTGGTGTACCTCTCTCTTGGCCCTTGGTGTCGGAATGGGCGGGTCGGAGACATTCAGGTGCGAGAACGTTGAGGCGGCCGTCACGAAGGAGGCGCCGGAGGAGCAGGAAGACGACGTCGACGTTGAAGATGTGTTTGAGTTGCGTACGGAATCGTTTGGTTCTGGCTCGTCCTGCCAGCAGTTACGCTCCAGCTTGCTGATCTCCGCACTGACGGCTGCCGCTGTTGCGGCCACAGCATTGGATCTCCGCGGCGGAATGGGGGGCGACTGTACATCCGGTGGACTATCAAAGCTGCAGTCCGTAGTGGGAAGTGGCTGACGTGGCTTGCTCGGCGTGGAGGTGTGCCGCGGCGGCTTTGTCTCCACGTGCTGATGCGTGGCATACGGATGATTGTAGTAAAAGGCGGACGCTGGCGTGGATAGCGTGGTCTGCAGCGTGGACTGCGGAGGCGGTGGGCGAGCCGGCGGCGCTCCTCCTCGCTGAGTGCGTGTGGTGTGGTGCTCTGCGCTTGGCTTAAGCTGTGTGGGTCAATGGCGATGCGATAATGGTTTTGTCGATTCGTTGATGTAGTGATGTGGCAAGTGCATGTGTTCGGTTGTGGTTTAAGTGTTTGTATGTTTGTGAAAGACATGAAGCGACAGCGACAGACAGTGGACACAGACACGACACAAACACGGAAACAAAAACAAGAAGAGCATGAGAATAACATAAATTTCACAGTACATCGAGATGAGTGACGGACGACACGCATGGAGTCGAGTTAGCTGAGGGGCAGGGCAAGCGGGTGAACGAACCACACTAGAATTAGCTGCACGTCAGGCAGCTATTGGAGCTGCTGCTGCTGCAGCCGACTCTCGTACGCCCGCACCAAACTACTTACACTGCGATCCACGGCCGGCGTCTTGAAGAGCGGATGGTTTTGCAGCTCCTGCGATAGGTTCATCTCTGACGATGAGCAGAGCGAGCTCGCTGAGCTGACAGCAGGAGACGCACCCAAATGATGGCCATAATGAGCAGCAGCATGCGCACCGTACGCATGACCGTTCGGCTGTATGTGGCTACTCGAGCTAGACATCGCCAGCGGAACGGGACCGCGTCGCGTCCCGTACTCCCGGGGCTCTCTGGCCAGCGTGCCGTTTGTGTGAGTGCTGCTGCTGCCAGTTCCGAGGGCGAGGCCGGTGCCCGTGCATTGGATGCCTCCGATTCCATTGTCCAGCCGCTTGCTGGTTACTGGAGAACTGGGTGCCGAGTGGTGGGCCGCTCCAAGGGCCCTGCCGCTGCGCACGTATCCCCCACTTCCGCCGTCCGGTCGGTCCGAGTGGGTGGGCGAGTTCAGGCCAAAGTGAAAGTTGGTTCCGCCGAACTGGTTGCCGTTCTCCCGCAGCTTGGTCTTGAAGCCCTTGTAGGCGGTCTTCATGCCCCGCGATCCGTCCTTCACCTGAAGGATCGAAGGCAAAACACACAGGTTAGCGAGAGGATTATCACCATTGCAGAAGGCAACACAAAGAGACATCATTCAGGTATTAATAACTAGGGGCTTGAACCACTCACCGATTTGACTGCAGACTTAACAGCAGGATTAGTCTGACGGAGCGGAGTCGTCACCGAAGCAACGAAACGAAACGAAACGAAGCGAAACGAGAGCAAGTAGTACAGAAGAAGCACAGTAGTACACAGCGGGTGCGGATTACGTGGGTGGCATGAGAGTTGAGTTCCAAGCGGCATATGAAAGAGAGACGAGACGGAGACACGGATACGGATACGGGCGATATACAATGTGAATGAGAGATAATGAGGTCCCACTGCTGGGCTATTAAGCCTAAAGCTACGCTTAAACTAACACTACGCTTAATGGTTTCGATGGCACTGCTGATAGCTATGAGGGCAATGAGGCTTGTCGTATGATGATTAGGATTCGAGATCAGCGAGCGCTTTTGGGGAGGGTTCAAAGTCAGTTTTGACAGAACTTACTAGCTCCCCATGGAATGAATGAATGGAATGATGGATGGAATGATGGCTATGAGTTAGTACCTAGTTTGGTGGAGACTACAGCGTGAGAGAAGTTCTAAAATTATTAGCCAGAATAGACTTTGAGAATGTTAGGATAGAAAGCGATGATAGAGGTGCAACTACCCGTACAAACGTTGTGTATTCTTGAGGGTTAGTCCTTATAGAGAGTGTTTTTGTATTAGTACGAAAAAAGCCTGCGTTTATTCAACAAAAACCATAACCAACAATGTTCTAAAGCAGCGGTGGGCACGGTACGCTTCTTAAATTTGGGAGCAGTTCAACAACAACGGCGAAACTAGAATATAGAATCATACACAGGACATGTATGTTGTTTTTGTACTATTCGCTTGCGAGTGTCGAGCATCAATGTGCCCGGTCGTGCCAGCCGCTGTTGTACAAGCTTATCAAAGCTTTCGCAGTCTAAAAATATAGACTGAAGGATCCTGTTTAGGCTAGTGATTCTGTTCAAAATGCCAACGACACAGACAAAATGTATTATCAGGCATACAAAACACGAACTAACTAAACATTCTCAACAATTTACAGAAAACTGTAGATAACTGATTTTGGTTTTAGTTTTTGCCAAACAGGAATTTGAGTTAAGTGCAGTTGTGGTTGCATTCGCTTGTTGTTAGGACGACAATTCGTTTAGGCATATAATTTTATATTGAACTAACATTTTTTCAGAGATATAGAGGTAAAGTTGGCTGTGAGGTGTTGGGGGGAGAGAGTTACAGTCTACTCGTTTGTATATTGGTATTTGCTATTGATGGACTGGACTTTGTATTGTATACAAGTTCTTGGCAAACACTTGCGAAACACTGCGCTTTCCCAAATAATACTGCGAAATAGATCAAATCAAATGTAAGAATATCAATGGGAGAATGGGAAATAGTGGGAAATGGGAAACTTAAGAGTATGGCTGTAACAGGCAGGGTCTGTTAGCGGCAGAGCATTATTGCGTTCGTTCCTCTTCCAAACCCGACAACTGTATGGGGGATGATTCTTGTTGGTGGTGGGAATGTGCTGAGGAATGGGATGGGCTGCGGTGGATGGATATGGCGATGGGCTGGCGGCTAGCGGCTATCAGCTAGAAGCTAGCGGTTGGCTCTCCAGTGCGGCTCACCTTGTCCTTGACATTCTTCAGAAAGTTGCGGCCACGCTTGCGCATCTTCTCCGCATAGCGCACGGTCTCCAGCTCGAATTCGTCGGAGAAGCCAAGGCCGCTGTTGAGCATCTTCAGGCGATCATCGATGAACTGTGCAAAGATCTGTAGCTCCATCATTTTGGCAAGAAATGGCCGCAAATGGGCCGGCCGAGATTCAATGAATTTGTCGTGGTTGAACGTCTTGCTAGTCTCATGGTACTCAACGGCGTCCCGATAGCCGCCAATCAGCTGCACCAGCGCATTCAGAAATATCTTCGAGATGCGATCCCCAATGTGGTCCTGCGTGTGATTCAGATGCTTCTTCAGCTGCGACACAATCTCCGCGGGCATATCGTGAACATCGTCAAAGGGACTCTCAAATGTCTTCGTATCACAGTTTAAGATCACAACTTCCCCGAGCTCATCCTCGGATACCTGTTGAAAGTGCAACGAAATAGTAATCATTTATCGCCATAAATGCGGCCTCCATCTACGTACAGTTTCGAGCACAGGCTTTGGCACACCAATTAAATATGGCATGGGGGCCCCCAGGTAGTCTTTGAACTCCCACGGCAGCACCGGGATGAATATGTGCTGCCAGACCATGGGGAATAGGAATGCATTGGCTGCCTGTATGCACGAGGACAGGCGATCTAGGTGTCGCGAGGTGAATATGATCCGCCGCTCGGCCAGCATGGCCGCAAACACAGCTATCATCTCCTTGGGATCCACAAAGTTGTAGTACAGACTGAGATTGTGCTGCAACAAATAACGAGGTTGATATTCTATTAAAAACCAAATAATATTCAGCTGGACACTCACGTTTTCCGGCATGCTGGGCAACTGGAACTGCAGCGGACGCTCGAACATAAAATGCTGTTCAAAATAGAAATACAACTTGGATTACTACATTGATGTGGATGTGTGGATTCCCATTGCACTTACACTCCGTCCGCTGTTATAGAAGACCGTCAGACTGCCGCCCGAATCGGGCACTCCACGATTGTAGGCCTCCGACAGGAACGTCCTGAAGCCATTCGCATCGGTTCGCTTCAGCTCCGCCAGCACGGGCAACAGTTTCAGGAAGGTATCGTGCCACGGCAAGTAGGTGATCAGAACCATCGCAGTTTTCGCCTTGGGATCGTGTCGACAGAAGCCAAAACGCCATTTTGAGTCGCCTGTGGTGTGGACAAACGAATACGATTGCACCGAGTCGCTGTGTAGATGATTAAAGATGAAGCACAATTGGGTTTAATCAAAAGAAACGTTTTCAAATCTCGGTCATCACTTAAACTAAGGCTACAGTGCGTTTCATAGCTTTCTTGTCCAATTTATAAAGCATACACAATAGTAGTTTGTCGTGCAACAGGATCTACATTACTCTGGACAGTCTTATATCACTTTTTTTAGGTCAAAAGTAGTCTATAGTTTGCCAATTCCCCTGGAAAGCCATACATGAATCGTTTGCCCTGTTAGCATCCGCTTGGAAGCGCGTCATCCATCCATCACATGGCCTTGTCATGCATTTTGCCCAATGGTTGAACAGATGTGTTACTACACGCGAAGAACAGACCGACCCCCAACCGTCTTGGGAGCGCACTTCAGTGACTAATGTTAACCGTTGGCGCGTTAAGTCTGCTTTCGTCTTCTTTTTGTTCGACTCTTAACCCAAATAAACGCGATTTCGCAGCGCACTGACCACGACAACCATAACAGCACAAAAGCCGCACAAAACGTCTGATGTGAATTCAAAATTAATTATTAAAACATACAAATCATTTGAATTTCGTTTACTCCGCTCGTTGAGCTTGTCAGTGTTTTGTGCAGCACTTTTTAGCGCCTATTATAATACCCTTTCTGTTCCATTTTGTTCGTCTTATATCCATTGTCTGTCCGTTTTCTGTGAATTGATCAACAGCTTTCCAAGTGATTCAACAAATTTTGATGAATTTCTTATCAAGAAATGATACTCGTACTTATAAAATGAAGGGATCCGAAACGGATACCTCGGAAGTTTTCAACATAAAGAATGATACTTTTTTGCTGTGTATTTATATTTTGTAGTGTATTTTGGTCATTCAGACTGTGTATGAACTTACAGCCAGATTTGGCTCTATGATCTTCCATTCTCTTTGCTTATTTTTCTTGACTCCGTCACTTAGCTGTCCGTTATTCTTTCGGCTTGCCTATTCTATTCCCCGAGGATCAGAGATCGGGATATAAGATATGTATAAGGGTAAGTGCGGTTGAGAGGAGCGTAAATATAGCTTGAGTAGCAATAATGTAAACCCCGCAAATGCTACCCTCGCTTTGAACGTAGTCTGTCTCTTTTCGATTTAATAATAATTATGCATTGAAATCGCCAACTCTTTCGCATTTAAGCATTCAAAATAAATCGCAATTTCGCAATATCAACCCACAATGATGGAGCAAAGTCTCATTACCAGAGCGCACGTTTCCCATTGTCCGTCCACCAGCTTTGCATATTTCTCGTGTCGAGTCTTTTCTGCGCTTTGCGGAGCGTTACATAAAGAGTTGTTAGATTTAAGTGCTTCGGATCGGATCGTGTCATTATTTAATTCAATATGCAAAGGCAGACGGCCGACGACAAACAATGGACAAAGCGCAACTCATGCGGGTGTTGGGGACAAGGAAATTGGATGTGCGGATGGTCGGTACATTGACTTGGACTTGACTTTCATTATCGCAGGGCTCCGCCTGCTCTGTGAGTGTGAGAGAAAACTCAACAAAATATTGATAAACTGTAGGTCAGAGCGTTTTCAGCAAATATTTGTTGCTATAATTGGCTTGTAGCGATTGTGGCGAAGAACAGAAAATATAATTGCTTCAAATTGTTGGATTTGCAGATATTTCCAGTACCCAGTACCAGCTGCAGAGATAAAGCTAAGGGGTAAATATTTCGAAAGGGAGCCATGATTTCGTTCATGACTAAGTCCAAGGGCCGCGTACCACTGCTGACGTAGTGCCTCACCAGATTGATACAGTTCCAGACGATAATCCAGGAAATAAAACGACGAATGGTTGTGTTCAACGCTTCAACAAAAAAGAGCATTGAATAAGAATAATGATCATACATTCTGCGAGCAGGCCGTGTAAACAAATGCCAAAAACACAACGGCACAACAGGTTATACATATGTACTGTACGCTCCATGGACGGAGTGGAGTGGAAGTGGTCGGTCGGGTCGGATTGTTTCGTGGGGCGCATGAATCATCAATGGAACATTAACAGGCAGCTAGGTATTTTTCTGTTGTTGTTTTTGTTGCCGTTGTCTATGCGATGATCGCGCGCGATGCCAAAGTCGACGGTGAGTCTTGCGCAAAAGGCAGCCTGTGCCAGTGCCAGTGTGTTGCATATTGCTTATAAATGGACGTCTCTGACTAATGCCAAGTGACCGGAAACACGCAAAGAGCAAACCTACATATATATATAGAGCGATGGGAGGGAGCTGTGGGTATACGCACCTTTCGAGATCGCAGGGAAACGCAAACGATGGTATGCCGGCTAGCACCTCTTTATCGCGGAATCCTTCCGGGAAGCTCTCCACGATCACACCAGCAGGAGTGGCGGCGGCGCCGTTCCGTGGGCTTGTCCCTCGCTCCAGGCCGGGTGTGGGCTTGATCTCGCACCAAAACTCAAAGAGTTTCTTCACATCGTTCCTGTCGAGCCAAGCACAGAACAGAACACAACAATCATGAAGTGGGGTGTTAGTTCATTTACAAATGATATACTAGGCACGACTCGTCGTGAGAGTATGGGGCGAAAAGTGGGCTCTATCACTGACTGTCAGACAGTCAGGCAGGCGGCAGCCAAGCGAAACGCCCACTGCAGGCCAGCAGCAAACAGCAGCCTGGGGAATACTCACTTGATACGCGACCCCATTATGATGTGTAGTTGGCGTTTAGCACATGTTTTCCTCTCTTAAAGATATTGATTTAATTTTGTTGTCCCAATTTAGGCTGTTTTCACACAATTTTAATACTGATTATGCTGTCAACCAGCCCAGCAGCAGCAGCATACGGGAGGCAGATACAGGCCACTTTTCTTGCTCTTTCTCTTTGTCGATTCGGATTCGTTTCGCGACGTCATTGAATCATTTTCGTTGTGTTGTTTTCTTTCGCACAAATTCTTCCCTGCTCGACTACTTGCACTCAGGGAAGGGTATCACTGCACAATAAAATGCTGGCCACAATAATTAATAATTCACTTGAAACCCTTAGTTTAAGCTTTATTTTATGCAAGAAATTGGAAGGGAAGGCAACAACGCGAAACGCACCCGACAAGACGTTGTATCGAATATGCGCTATCGAAGTATCGCAACTATCGAACAGCTGTACGGTGTTATCGATGGATCCGATGTGCATCCGATCAGCTGTTGTATTGCTATCGAATGGTGGCTAGATTTGAGTTATTGGCGTCCCCTAAATTTCTGTTTGTGTGCACATATTATCAATTTTTACAACAACAAACAATTTGGTTTTGTTCATATAGTTTAGCTGGTTGTGCGCAATAGAAATGCTTCATATTTTTAAGGTTACATAAGTGCGTGTCAGCGCCATTGCAATTGCTTGCAGTACAAAAAAATAATTGTGGTCCCCAGCGAAAAAAGTACAGCAAAGAAGTAAGCAAAGAGTGTTATAGTATACATCCGCATGTATTCTATTCGGTTTCGTCATTCTTGGCACGGTAATTGCCAGGCAAGGCACCTATAACACCCACTAAATATGCCAATAACCAATCGGTGCTCACTCGGACCCACGGTCGCGTCCCTGCTCCGTCGATTGATTTTGTTTCGTGCGGCGTGCACGTGATGATGCCGTCTAACGCGGGCCAATATCAGTATACCCACTGCAGCTAACCCAAACAGGCTTTGTTCTCACACTTGTTTTTCACATCACTATTCATATACAAAGCGTTTAAATCATTGTCTAAATTTTATTTCAAAATTTTTATTTCCACTTTTCAAGGTAAGCGCACATTTACGGACCGTTATGCAAAGCTGTAAAATTGGCGGTGACCGGACAATAAATTGTAGCAATAGCACTTGTAGTGCAAACTCTTCTCACATCACAGTATCGTAGTGATAAGCATTAGTGTAGCATTAGATACGGCTTGATTGCCGATTGCCAGCCCCTAGCCATGTTGTGTGCTCTTGCCCGCGGTCCGCACCTAAAGGTGGCAGCCGTCTACTACAATCTCTCCGACTTGCTATGCACAAGTCGCGGCTGTGCCGTCCTGGCTGTACGCCTGCAGTCCGGCAGTGCTGGCAGGAGAAGCAGCAGCAGCAGCCACTATCATCATCATCATCAACTACAACCCCGCCGAGAACTGCTGTGAGTGAGAGAGATAAGGCTGTTAACTAACTTGAGTGTCCCATTCAAGGCATGTGCGGTGCTGACTCGTTCAATCAAAATCCATATGCATACATTAAATACATACGGCGGGCACGATTAGATATGCCGCCTCCTCCTTGTCCAAGTACTGTCGTACTTAGCGATAACAACCAGTGGCTGTGGACAATTTCATTCACACAACAATTGCAGCTTTGCAGCGCAGCGCCTTGTTATAAATGATTTCATTCCTGATTTGATTACACCCTTCCTTCCCTTCCACCGTTCCACCAGTTCTCGCCCGTCTCGGTGTCGTGTCCAAAGTTCCGAGTTAGCAGTAAGAACGTTTCACTCAGAGCCAGTCGCGATGTTCTACTCGATGTACGCGTACCTCTCCAACCTGCCGCGTCTTCATGTGCTCGGCCTGGCCATTATTGCCTATGTAGTCTATTACCTAATCCAGGTGGTCAAGGTGAGTGCGATGTCGTCATGTACCGCGGCTGACTAATGCGGTGTAATTACAGCGACCGATAATCGCTTGTTCGGACGGGCCGTTCAAGCAGTACTTGATTCGGAAGGTGCCCACCCTGGAGAACAAGTACTGGCCCACTTTCTGGTGCGTTGAGAGCCGTGCCCAGACCGTTCTTGCGAGCCTGCTGCGCTCCAAGAGTCTGCCGCGCGTCAATTACCGCCGCGAGATTCTCAGCCTGACGGATGGCGGAGAGGTGGCCCTAGACTGGATGGAGGAGGATTGCAACGTGAATGCCCCCTGCATTCTCATACTGCCCGGACTGACCGGCGAGTCGCAGGCTGAGTACATCAAGTGTCTGGTCTTCGCCGCCAAACAGTCTGGGATGCGTGTGGTGGTCTTTAACAATCGCGGCCTCGGCGGCATTGAGCTAAAGACGCCGCGGCTCTACTGTGCCGCTAATTGTGAGGATCTCTGCGAGGTGGTCCAGCACGTGAGGAGAGTTTTGCCGGCTCAGTGCAAACTGGGGGCCACAGGCATCTCCATGGGAGGGCTGATATTGGGCAACTATTTGGCGCGCAAGAGCGACGAGGCCCGCAGCTTTCTGTCGGCGGCCAAGATCATATCTGTGCCGTGGGATGTCCACAAGGGAAGCGCTAGCATTGAAAAGCCAGTAATCAACAGCTTGCTCGGTCGTCATCTCGCTGGCAGTCTGTGCCGCACCTTGCGCAACCATTTGGACATTTACAGGGAAATCTATCAGGACTCGGACATTGACATACAGCGCATTCTGCGCTGCAAGACCATCAAGGAGTTCGATGAGCTGTTCACCGCCAAGCAGTTCGGGTATGCCCATGTCAACGACTACTACTCAGATGCGACGCTCCACAACAAGCTGGATCAAATATCAGTGCCGCTCCTCTGCCTGAGCGCTGCCGATGATCCGTTCCAACCGTTGGACGCCATCCCCGTCAAGGCCGCCAATCAGTGTACCCATGTGGCAATTGTTATCACGGCGCGCGGAGGCCACATCGGTTTCCTAGAGGGCTGGTGGCCGTCCACCAGGGATCAATACATGGGTCGACTGTTCACGGAGTACTTTACCAAGGCCCTCTTTGACGAGGATGGCGAGTTTCAGCACACCTCCAAAAAAATGTACGAACGGTTTCAGTCCAAACAGGCCCTGGCCCTGCCTGCGTCCGCCCTGCTGTTGGAGAAGAAGGTGGAAGTGGTGGAGCATCTGGACCACAAGGTCAAGCTGATGTAGAAGCCGCCGATGACTATGAGGTGAGATGACGATGCTGGCAATACTCTTGCTCAACTATTGCCTGACTAGAGGCGTTTCGTTTCCTTACGAACAACGAAACCATACTCAAATAAGCAAAATTACCTGCGCATAAATTCCGTTTGCGATTCCGAAGACTTTCCGAACACATGTGATAGATGAATAGTTTTTCCAAAACAATTGATCAAAATCAGAAAACAAAGTGTAAGTCTGGGAATAGAGAACAGAACAGAACAGGGACACGACAATTCGACAGTTGCGGATATATAGATGCATAGATGCCCAAATTATAAATAGTATTCGTGACATTAGGTACATATCAGATTGGAATAGAGAACAAAAAGCTTTAAATTACTTTACAATTCTTAGAGATAAATTCAAAACCTATGTATGACACAATGCAATAAACTTATATTTCTACAAATTCCGTATATTTACCTAATAAAAAATACAACGCTTAATAAAGAGAACAAATAAAATACACATCCCATGCGCTATAGTAGATTTGACAGGAGAGATAGATGGATTACCATTACCCCTCATTAAAACCAGATTCTTAGATCATAAGGGGACTAAAGTTGGTCATCGTCTAAATGGGCTTGTAGAGCAGCGTCGTGACGTACTTCTTGCGATAGCGATGCGTGGCACTCAGCACCATTACCCCCTCCTTGATGGATAGCGCATACAAGTGATTCAACATCACATGGTTCGGTTCAGGCAACAATGTGGGCTCGCACTGTAACAGAGATCCAATTAAGATGAGATTTTTATCGGTTATGCGGCTAGCAAGTACTCACCGAGAGAGGAGTGTCCTTGTTGAGTATGACCTGCAGCAGGTGTGGCGGCAGCACTGGGGGGCCGGACACCTTCTCCCAGGGCTTGGCCTGCGGCACCTCCTGCGAGTACTCCTTCTCCGCATAGTTGGTCACGTTCTCGCTGTCTTTGGCCAGAGCTTGGAATACCTCGAAATCGGATGGCCGCACAGACACCAAATTGTTCTTCTCTCCCTCATCGTTATCCACGCTTTTCTGTAATGCAAAACCCATGAGCAATGGAAATTGATTATAGTTATATCCTGTTAAACATTCCATTACAGTGGTGTCTATAAATATTCTAACACCTTTATTACAAATGTTTCTTCTTTGTTTGTTTTAGTTTGAATGTTTACAGAACGCAACACTCTCTCATATAGTAAAAATAAAAGCTAAAACTAGGGAGGAAAAAGGCCAAATGCGCATATCTACACGCCTCCCCCTCCCAACCCCATCGACACCCAATAGTGATTACTGGGGGCTTTTGCTCTGCTCTGCTCTTGTTTACTGCGATTACACAACAGCGGAGCGAAATCAGTAACTGCGTCATTCGAGTGTCCAACCACGAATCGCGTCCGAATTTACATATAGAATGGAATATCGATTTTCCCTAATTGACTCACCAGCTTTGGATCGTGCTTCCATTCGCCGTCCACACAGAATTTGTACTGGTGGTCGCCCTCGGGCAGATCGATGATGGTCACAAAATTGCCATGGCTGCGGACCATTGTGATGGGTCGCCAATTGGAGAAGGTGCCCGAGATGGTCACGTTCTTGCCGCCGCCATCCCAGCGAAGGACTGTGGGCAGGGCGGTTTTCTTTGGCTCGTCGTCGTCGTCATCGCCAGCCAGTGGGGGCAGCAGTGATCCAGCGGCCTGCTGTTCCTCTTCGGTGTTATCCATGATTAACTTCTCTCCGCTGCCGCTGCTGCGTAGAACAGCTGTTGCTTCGCTGCTATCAGCTGTGCGCTTAGCTGCCGCTCCCGCGCCCGTATAATACGGGTCGTCGTCGTCTTGCGATGAGCCTTCGTTCAAGACTGCTGTATGTTTTTTGTCGAACGAGAAAGCTTGGCCTCCCGCTCCAGTTCCAGCCAAAGCTGCACTCCCGCCATGTGCCCCAGCACCCCCCCCAACAACCCCACCACCACCAGCTGCGCTTGAAACCGAGTCACGAAAATGTGCGGGAGAACTTGGCGTTGAGAGGTCGGTGGATTTGTGGCGCTCTCGCATGTGGACGGTGGAGCTGCCCGCGTTACCCATATTATATTGCAGTTAATGCCGTTTTCGCAGTCTCTCTAGAAGGTTACGGCTCGGCTCGGCTCGCCCTCTTGCTGTTTTGGCACTTTGTTTTCCTTGACTTGTCCCGTCTCGTTTCTCGCTTATTCGCGTTTTCGTTTCCGCGTTTTTTTTTTCTTCCCATACACTATTTGCGGCTCGGAGTTTTGATTTGACTTGTTGCAAAAGCAATATTTGGCAATTATTATGCAGAAAACTGCATTATTTAATCGGCTGTCTCGCACAAAAAGCTAATTATAAACAATTTACATATATACAGGCGTATATTCGCAGTTAGTGCGATGTTAAATTGATTTATCGATATATTTTTTGTTGATAACTTTCATGCTTGCAAATACAATACATACATTAATTATTATTTTTGTGGGATATAACTTTTAGGGAAGATCGAGGTTATTTTTCTTTTGTTTCACGTCGTTCAATTATATATTATATACCTTTGATTCTACTTATCGATAGGTCGGGAACAAAATATCGGTATTTTTGTGCGATTTTGCGGAACCAATTTGGCGGTAACTTATCTTTATTTTAAAAAATAACATTACATTCGATTTTGTTTTGTATTTTGTTTCGCAACTCTGGTTGAATTTTTTAATTGATGTTGCTCGTATACATACATGCCGTATGTATTAATCAAGTCTATTTGTACTAATGATTATATGTATTTCATGCTTGAGCACACAAATCGTTGTCATTAGGCTTTGCTTCTCATACCCTCTCTTCAATCGGGCAGATTCGTTCATACCACAAAGGGAATCTTTTGTCGACTTTCCCTAGGTCCGATGGAGTGCAAGAGCATCTTAACTTCGGCTTGGTCAATTTTTTAATTTTCGCAAAGCATCTTTCCTGAAATGCATCGCACCACGGGTTTTTAATTGTCAATGAACAATGGCCACGTCTAAATCGTCTTTACTGATCTCCCTGATCGTTTTTGGATTTGCAGTTTCTGGCGTAAGGACAGCGACGTACCAAACCAAGGATCTATACTTTCTGTTTGCAAACCATTTGCTAACTAGATACCTCTTGTAGGTTAGCTGCAAAGTCGAGTTCACCAACCTGAAATGCACGACCCTGGATCGCGAATTTTTGGAGTTTGACAAGTGCTTTTTAAAGTCGATCAACCGGACCTACAAATACCTCTCCGTGAGCACAAAGATCCACATGCTTCCGTTAAAGAGTGTTTCAGTTCGTAGATTCCTTCACCTAGTCTTCGATCGTTCCCATCACACAGTGCCATTCCAGATCCAGACTCAAGTGCTCCAGAGACTGAACGGCTACAAACCGTTCCTCTTTAATTTCACCACCGATGGCTGCAAGGCTTTGAGTGGGAAAATGAATCCGACGACTCGATTTTTCTTCGGGCTGATTGCCCCCTACTCAAACCTGAACCATTCCTGTCCCTACGATGTGAGTTTCTGTCATACCTACCTACACTCGATTGATGGTTTCTCCTATATTTTCCACAGCACGACCTATTTGTGGAGAAGCTTCCGATTAGCTTTATGGACGAGCAACTCACCAAAGTTCTGCCGTTCCCGGAGGGTGATTACTGCTTAAAAAGCATATACTCGTATCGTCGAAAACCACGAGCTGAGATCTCGACCTACGCAAGCATCTCCTAAAATTTAAACGCCAGCGCTGCCAGACATTGGTTAAGACTTAAGAAAGCACAGCTTTTAGGCCAAGCTTTTGAGCCGTAAGCTCGTCTTTGCTTCGATTTCGATTGCGAGCACAAGCAGGGGCAGCTTTCTGTTTTTATCGGGCCTCAGGTGCAGACGTGTGGTGCGCTTAAGTTTTCTTCTGTTACTTTTATTTTTCTGTCTGTTTTTCTTTTTGTCGGTGTCGGTTCGGTTCGGTCGCTGCCGAAGCGTGGATTATTCCGATTTGCGGTTATTGTGCAAGTGTAAGGCAAGTCACGTACCTGCCGTTGCAGTAAATAAACCAACAAAAATATACAAAATCAATGTAACAAATAATTTTTACTATCGATCCGCGATCGTTGATTGATTAACACATCACTCACACACACACAACCGCACTACTCTGCTCTGTGTGGGCGTACAAGCCGTGTGCATCATCATCTGCACAAAAATAAACGTTAATAATAATAAAAAGTGCCGCGCAACTTTGATCGTGTGTCGGAGTCCACCTCCACCTCCACCTCCAGTGCCACCCCACCCATCCGCTCCGGCCGCGCGTGCGTGTTGTAACTTTTGATTAGCTTTTGAGTCGGAACGGATCTGAGGCGTCTTTCACTCCAGTGCACCTCTTTGGAACATTGCGCTGCTTGCGTTTTTCGTAACTTATCGCCGCCCACATCTCGCCGTTGCTTTTTGTTGTGGTTCTTACGGAGGTGAGTGAGTGTGCCTCGGCGTTCGCCTCGCAGGAATGAATGCCTGTTCTCCCGGGGAATACAAGAGGAAACTAATTGTGCATACGACTATAGGATACCCTCAGGGACATACGGGGCTCTTCCACAAAATCCTACTGGGCGGTGGAAAAGATCAAATATATATTCAATCTATTTAAATACAATATACCCCCTTGGCCCCTACTAGTACAGGGTACAACGAGTAGAATGCCTCACGAGTTTTCGAAATGCTCACTGGAATTGGCAATGACGATGCGCATTCATTTCGGAATTGCAAATTCCCTGCACATGCCACAAGCGGAAGATGCCACAGACCATGGGCAAAAAAAGTGAAATTTACGACACAACTTTTGTAATTATTGGCCCAGACAACATTTTTATTGCATATTAGCATGGGGGATGGGATGGGATGGGATGGGATGGGTTTGTTCTGCGAATATCGATGTGGGCTGATGCCAGCGGATGCCAGCAGAGATGAGATCATTTCTAAAACCGGTGCCGACCGAAGTCCCAAAGAATGGCCAAAAAGGCAAAGATCTTGTATGCGCTTTGTAAAGCCATTAATCACAGAGCGAAGAAGAGAGCTGTCGAACCCCAGTCCAGTGTTCGTTCTGGCTCTGAGTCACCTGTATCGGTATCCCAAGAACCTCTTGGCTTTCATTAGTCGGCGTCTTTGCCTCTGACTCTCCATCGCTGGTCCGGCAGCGGAATCTAATTAATTCTCCTTTGTTTCCATGAGGCCCAGTAACTGTTTGTCTCAAAACAAACTGCTGGCCGGCTAATGGCCGATACGCATTTGAAGCACAGCAGTGGAGGTCTTTCAATCGATTGGGCCCGAACCGCAGCGTCATCTTGAGACTGTTCGCAGGTGGAAAGCCAAGCCACGATCAGAAGAGACAGAAGAAGTGACCTTGAGGGTAATAACTCACCCGCGACACCCGCAACACCCGCAACATTCGCCACTTGGTTGTTAGTCATGCCCGGAATGCAGCCGAGCAGCATTGCCAGCTGCAAAAGCAAAGGCCAAAACCGGATGGCATCAACCAACATAACATCTAATGTCTAATGCCTAACAATACACATACACAGCCACATCCATGTACCCTGGCTGCCCACACCAGACCACACCGCACCACACCACACGCACGCAGGTTCTCCTCTCTCCATAGCCCCCATATCATATTTAGGGGCATTATAAAGGTATTAACCGTCGCTCGTATAAAGCTTTATTAACAAATTCCAGCCGTCGATAAACAAAAAATACCAATAAGCCGCGTACAGCCCCAAAAAAATAACAACAAAAGAGCCAAGAAACACAAAAACAAAAACAGAAGAGAACAGAACAGAACAGAAAAAAAGTGAGAATGCGCGAAGGCAAACGAAACCAGAATCAGAATCGTTGTCGGGGCAGGTTTCTCTAATGGTCTGTGGGGGGAGGGAGGGTCGGGCAGGCACACATCACATTTGGCTAAAACAAACTGGTTGAGAGTGCTCACACACACACACACACACACACACACACACGCGAGGGGGCAGGCAGCCTCGAAATCGGTCGAAGTCAAAGTGAGGAGAAGCAACGATTGTAAGGAAAGGTGCGGGGTGCGGGGTGCGGGGTGCCACCTTGAGGCGCATCTTGACTCCTCTCAGAAGCCATTTGGGATTGTCAGAGTCGAACAGAAATCAATTTGTAATCCCATTCCCAATCCAAATCTCGACTCTCGACTCTCGTATGCGCAATATTTCTGTAGAGTGATTAACATATCGCATTCCATCGTCAGCCAAACCGTTTATACCGCCTGAATATTTTATTATTCTGTTTATGCGTACGAGTGCGAGTACGAGTGCCAGTGCGAGTGCCAGTGCGAGTGCGAGTCCGAGATGCTGTTTCTGCCTCCAAGTTCGTTGCCTAAGTCTTTCGTTTTGGTTTCGGCTTTGAGCTTTGGAGATTGGCATTTGGACGGCGTACATTTCATGGCCATGCCTCGTAGATTTGTAAGCAGTCCGTGTAAACGGCCATAAGCCAGCGTCCAATTACGCAAAGAGCCAAAACAAATGCAATCAATGCGCGAAGCATTCGAGGCCCATCTCTGGTCCGCTCTGACCTTAGCTGGCCCGACAACGAGTGACACAGATCGATTGCTAGTCCACACATACCCTGTAATACTAATAGAAAGAGAGCCAAAAGCCAAAAGCCAAAAGTTAGATGAAAGTTGAGCTATCCCCCCACCAGCCATGAACAAATGAATGAACTGAAGAAATGGAATTTGCCGTTAACGGCCTTTGAGCCACAACTCTGTACAGATTATGTATGCATACCTCCTATACTCGCACAGCCACAAGCGAGTATTTATGTAAAGACTGGACAGGTTTTTGCAACTCATTAATAAATTAACAGGTGGATGCGACTGCGACTGCGATTGCGATTGTGATTGTGATTGTAATGTGTGTCTGATGCCACAGCCCCGAAGATGAGTTGCACGATGAAACTCCGTCAAAGGGAAGGGCATGATTTAATGTTTATGAATATAATTTACACGCCGAGATCAAGTGGAGCTGTTTACCGATGCCCCCCGCCCCACACTCCTTTGGTATGACAAACAAATAAATGTGTACTGTTCCCACCTCGAGCTTCTATTACCGAAAGCCCACTCAGCCGAGACGGCCATCATTTAATCTCGTGGCTGTTGTTGTTGCTGTTGCTGTTGCCGCCTGACAGACGGATTGAAATATGATCTTATGGGCAAGAGTTTACGGCGGGTACAACGAACAAATTGTGTGCCTGGAGGGGCACATCTAGAGATCAAGTTTAATGGCCATAAAGCGACAAGTAAAATAAACATTTTAGTTGCTTGTCAGCGGCGGCGGTGGCGGCAGGGTGAGCCCACGGCCTAACCCCAGCCCTAACCCTGATCCCCGACAAACCCGTGTAGCTCGTTCTGCCGGATTCTTGTGAAAGTTCGGGGCAGCAGGCACACCGAACGAAAGCGAAAGACGGCAGGCAGATAAGACGATGGTTTCACTGCCCCGACTCGTCTGGTAATCAACGGAAAAAAGAGACATCGCCGGATCCCCGTTTATATCGTTTTCATAATTGATAGAAAACCATCGAAAGTGACAAGTTTCTGTTCACCCATCCGCGGCATTCCCTGGCATTCCATGGCATTCCACGGCACTCCACGGCACTCGAGTCGAAATCGCAGCTGAAATAGACAAACAAACGAAAAATCAATGAAAAACCTCTGCGACAAGGCAACTTTCACTGCCCGCAGGCCAAAGAAGTTGTCGACTCAATAAATTAAATTGATTAACGAGCATTAGCACTTGCGGCCACCCGATCTGATCTGCCACCGTTTGCAGCAACTGTCGATCCATGGCCAGAGCTCTGGGCCATAATTATAATGAGCCAACATAATGCTTGTCCATCATTGACGGCCAACTGGGGATCGGCTCTGGAGTCGTGCGGTGCGTGACATTAAAGTTGGGAAACCTTCCGCAAACAGCAGCAGCAGCACTCGCACCTCCACCTCCACCTCGTCCATCCTCGTGGCTTTCGCACCTCCGCAGTTTGGCAGCCAGAGCCGCACAAGGCCTCACGAGAAAGTTTCTGTGCCCCGGGGTCAAAAGGGGGCTACCAAAGGCAAATATTTCGCGTAGCTTACTATTTTATTGGGCAATAAAGATCCTCAGCTTCCAGCCCCCATCTTTTACCCAACAATTTTATACCCATCTCGGGGGCTGTTATTCTCTAATTTTGGCCAACTGCAAATGGAAATCTCGTTCGAGTTTGAGTGTTGGAGTGTTGGGGGCTGCCACTGGGAGCGGCCACAGGCATTACACTTGACGCCCGAGTCGGAGTGGCCGGAGAGCCCCGATAGCATCGATTTATCGCCATACCACTAATAGTTGATTATATTTTTGTTTTGGGGCCAGTAACCGGTTTCCGGTACACATAGAAACAGCCAAAGATACAGATACAGATACAGATACAGGAATACTCTTGTTGTGGCTGTGTTTGTATTTTGAAAATTGTATCCACGATACATGAATGAGCTTTTCGAGTATTTCGTAACCAGTTGGACTGCATTTTTGCCACTCTTCCACTCGTCCCTCGCCTCTGGAGTGTCTCGGAGGGGGGGGGGGAGCATGGGACGGAGTAGCGTGGCCAAATGCTTATGTCCGCAGCTATGCCGCACCATAATCGATATCCCATTGCGGCGAAACCAAGTCAAGTGTTCTCCCATCGAGTGGAATCGAGTGGAGTCTAAGAGTTTCAGTTTAATTGCGTGTGAATTGCATTTGAATTG